TCCCTACATCCCAGGTTTTAATAAGGCTTTACTCCTCCCTCCTTTTTTCTTATGAGAAAATAAATAAATGTTTGCAATGATAACACAAATATATAACATATCTTCACTTAAAACACAGAAGCCCTTACCTTTGATTGCTCTGGAAACCCAATCAGAATAACAATAAGGTGGTCAGCAATTTGTGAACCTGCATCCAGTGGAATAGGCATGCAAGATGATGGAGAATTTGGACAGACAACATTGTGTGTCAGAGACCCCAGAAGTAGCCAGGACAGCAAACGAATGTGTGAAACACACTCTATGAACTCTTTGGGCCTGTCAAGAAAGAGTGGATTTTACAATGTTGCTAAGTTTTCTGTTTTTTCCCAAAATAGGGAGTTTCCTTATGCACATTAGGCAGATGCAGTCTCTGTACTGGAGGCACAGATCATTGGTACAGCTTATGGGAAGACTAGAACCTCACAGAATTTAGTGGATTTAACATACCATCAACAAATCCAACAGAACATATTTGGTGGGTCTAAGAAACAGTCTCTATAAAAAGCTAAAATATTAACAGGTTCACTGGTTCCACACACAGTGATTTTTTACACAGAAATCATCAGATGGGAAGGGCTGCCCAGGTGGAAAAGTTCCTCAGCTCCCCTGGACAGCACACAGCTGACAGGGCAACAGCAGGAAACAGTTCCTTCCATAGCAAGTTCTGAGCAGGCACCATGCCTTACATTCACTGTGTTCCACTTCTCCATCAGTAAAGTGGAATTAATTTCTTTTTTCCTTAGCCCCTCGGACATTTGGACTGTATGCTTTTGAGGGAAGGGACTATGCTTTTTTGTGACACTTAAGTATTCATCCACCATCTAGTGCAATGTAAAATTGCAAAGCAACGTGCTTATATAATTTCAAAAGGAGTAACACTTCTGGTTTCATCTTGTCTGTCCCCTTGCTGCTACCAAGTTCAGATGACACACTCATTTGAATTCACAGGCACGGGAAAAAAATTGGGGTGTGATCAATAAATCACTACTACTAAGCCACTCTCACTACAGTTTCCAGTTCCTAATCTGATATTGTAAAGAACTCAAAGCATCAAAGAGGCTTAATCTTTTTTAGTAGAGTCTGATAGATGCTCTTCCTCAACTACCTATAGGTTCTTAAAGAAATTCACTACCTTCAGCTCAGAATACACAGTCCTTTTTTTACACGTAAGAAACTAAAGCACAAGGAGATTAACTCCATTATTTCCAAAACCAGATATGCTCTACATGAAAGCACATGTAGATATATCTACAGGACTGGAACCTAAGTGACTTAGTCCCCAGAATCCTGGGGCAGGTAGTCTGGAACAAAGGTGGGACAAGAATACAGGTTTGTGCTGTGTGCTTTTCCCTGTCTGTATTTAGAATGAGAATCAAGTTAATTTTCAAGGTAATTCCAGTCAAGCCAATGGAGTTACCTCCACTGCCCCTTTGGTGTGTACTATAAATATTGCATCGATTAACTCCTCAGTTAAGGGTCAGAGAGCTGCTGACCAGCTGTTTCAATGTCCTACAGCCACCATTCCCTACTGCAGGTCTCATCTATGGAATCTGGCAATAAAGACAGAATTTCGTGAAGACTTCTTACACATTTTAGAATTCCTTTTTATGGAAAAGTATTCTCACCCTTGTTGCATTGCAGAAGGAGGATGGTAAAGCCAAGGCAAATATCGGATCACAGCTTTGTTGTCTCTGTGGTTTCCCCGTGTGATTTCCATAGCAGCAATCTGAGCTAAACCAACTTTCAGATGTCCACCAAAAGTGTCTTCATGCAGTGGCTGAGAACAAGTCTTCATGTGACTCTGCAAGGCAAAGATCTGATTTCCTACCCAGAAAGAGTATTTAACTTGAACTAAGTTCTTCCAAGCAACAGTGTATTCTTTTTAATTTCCCTTCTGTTTCTTTCTCCGGGTCTCTGACTGTATCTACAAAGCTACAGAACTCAGACTTTTTAAAATTCTCCAGTCCCTGAATCAGTAACAGCTTTATGATGCAGATCATTTCACGAAGGGCCACGTTTTCAAGAGCCTCCACAAAGCATGATTTGTGCAAATCTATAGACACCTTTTTATCAGCAAATTCAACAGCTGATGAATACAAACTAATGGTTGTACATCCAGACAGCTTAAGTGAAGATGAAAGAATGTAACTATTTAACGACATAGCATTTGGGCAGGAAATGTCTGCTCTGTGCAAGATTCCATTTACATGTACAGAAATAAGCTGTCACTCAGCCACTGGCAATATGACTATGGTGCACTATTCAGCTGCCACAGATGCCTTTAAGCCCTGGAAATAAAAGAGCTAAACCTTTTTCCAAGAAACATGCAAATATTTATGCCTGGAAAGATGATTTACTATCCTGTATTGTCAGCTCTAAGGAAGCTTGTTTCATTCGTGCTTATTGAGATGCTTCTATACTTCTAATTAAGCTAACTTTGCATTATCTTTTGTTACTAGACTAACAGAACACATACTGAGTATATTTGTTTGCTTAAAGGAGAGCCATGTGCTTTGCACAAGAAAATCTAGGTCATCAGTTATTGAATTGTTGTAACAGGAGAAAAAAAAAAATCAGTGGACAAATAATTTTTTTGTAACAGGTAGGTATCTGACCCCAGCAATTTACACTTTCAAAAATTGCTTACTTAAAGTCTCTTTCAAGAGCAGAAAACGAACAAACAAACAAACAAACAAAAACAACAAAAAAAAAACAACAACAAAAAACAAAACAAAACCAAAAAAAAACAACCAAAAAAACCAAAACAAAACAAAAACAAACAAAAAAACAACACCAAACAACACAAAACCAAAAGTAGCATCGTGTCTATCTAATGACTTTGTTATAGAGCCAGGTAAAAAGAATAGACAGGTATGCAGGCTGATGCATTAGTATTCTTCAAAAAAGGTGGAATTTTCAAAATAAAACCTTGCTGAGGTTTACCAATTAAAACATTATCCCAAATGGAAAAAGAAAAAAAATAAAAGACAACCAAAAACAACATAATAAACTGAACAGAAGCAATAAACTGGAATGTGATTATCTTAAGAATTAACATAAATAACTGAACTCTTTTGAAGAAACTATTCTCAGACACACAAAGTAAGACACTGGAAATTAATAAATAACTATTTCTGGTCACTGAATTTCTATAGAAAACAGAAATTTAAAAATCTGAAATCCAAGGTTCAACTTTTGCTGTTGGGATCCTTACTGGTCATATAAATTATACAATATTCTTTGTCTTTGTTTGGTAGTCCAGATGCTGTCAATAACACATACTCGTAGCAAGAAATTGTACAACTGGATACTCTTAGGACTCACTTCCTGGGAACACCTCTGTTAATAAAATTCAAGCGACCTAAGTAAATACATGAAATAAGCTCATAAATTGAATCTAGATGTTGTGAATTTCTTTAAAATTCCGACGAGTTATAAAATTAGAAATGTTTACAAATGTTTTCTCAACTATGTTGGAACCAAAGAATCAGTTTATCCAACCTAGTTAAACAAGAACTGCCTTTTCATTTTCCAAAGACAGACAAAGCTTTTTCTTTACAGTACATAAAGTTACAGTCATATTTGACTCTCCTATTATGCTAATCTTCTCAGATTCTTGTATTAAATGTATAAAACAAAACAACATGACGTTTTAGACCATTTGGTTCTGATTTCACTTTAAGTGAAACACATTTGGGAAGCTTCTTGTCTAATTTCAAAACATAAAAGTGAAAAACCGGGTAAAGTTTTAGTTTATGTCTTACCTATATCCATGTATAAAAGTTTAAAAAATAAATAGTCCTACTGAGCATAGGAAATTATAGTCTTAGCAGACTTCAGCTTTGTAAGAGCATTTCTAAAAATTTAGAAAACTACAGTTCAAGGGAGAAGGGGCAAAATGGAAAAGTGCAAATAGCAGAGAGCTTTCTGCAGAAACATTTTACCAGGAGAGAGGCTACACGCAAGTATCTTCCCCATTCCTGGTTTCAGGTAAGTTCATATTTTCCTGTGGAAAAGGTAAACTAGATGTGTCTCTTCCTCATTTGCCTTACTCTTCTGAAAGCAGTTCTGAACTTTAAGACAATGGGTAATTAAAGGGCAGAGTGGGAAAGCAATCCAATCCAGTTGAAAATTATTTATTAGTTTGTGCTTTGAAGTATATTTCTACTCCAGCACAGAAGGCTGCTTCCCTTATTAGGGCATTTAAAAAAAAAAAATAAAAAAAAATCAACGGGACTGAAGGCATATGGCTAACAGGGTAAGAACTCAATAGGGATATTTCGTCCTGTAGAACAAGGTTACTGCAAGTTTCAAGAGACGTGAGTTTCAGTTTAGCTGGGATTCTTCCTTTTTGGTAAGTATTACTAACTTGCAATAAGGTGTCCCCCTCTGGGGCATGAGATGGTCTTGCCTCCACAGAGTGCCTGCATGAACCTGGAGCATGAAACACTCCAGTGCATTGCCAGTAACTTTGAGGAGACAACTGGTGCAGTAGTAGAGGGGCCCTTTCAGGAAAACACTATACTGCTTTATCAGGATTATAATCTGACCATTTTCATCATTACTAGGATGTTTTAATGAAATTCATTTGTAAATAAAATATTTTATGTTGACAGAAGTATTTCCCTATCACTCCTCTTACAAATTTGGCAGCAAAATAATATACAGAAACCCAAAAGCAGCAGTTTGGACTACAGAGGTAAGAACTACTCAGTTTCCTCCACAGAATACACCTGGCAATGAAAATGATAGCATCCAAAGAGAAAGAACACACATCCCTCTTTTTTTTACAGGTCAATTACAGGATTTTAATAACTTCTGAACTTCCAATTAACTTAATTATCTGCTTGTGTATGTAAGAGACACAGGATTCCTCCAGGAGTGTAATTAGTTGTACAGGCAAGGATTTTTATGTTACCATGGGTTATATTAAAGACAACTACTTCTCACACTGATTTTGGTATGACATTAGTTTACCCTCAGTGTTTCAGAAAAATCAAGCCTACATTTTTATTGTGTGCACACTATATATAATAATATAATATGTAATATAATAACACTATCTATATATATAATCAACCTCCATTTCAACACTACATAAGCTACTTTTTGCTGATCACCTAGAAGTGTCTAATCTTTCACATTACTAACTTTTTTTTCTTTTTAAGGAAAGAATAAAGCCTATCTATCACCCTCAAAGACTTCCAACCATTTCTCCCAGGCAGGTTCATTAGAGAAAACATATTTTTTTTTAAAAAAAAAAAAAATTATGTACATCAGATCAATATATGCCTAGAACCAACCTTTAATTTGGTTAATGTATGCATATCTGCAATGAAATCCAGCACTTCCCCAACATATTGCCTCATGCATTCCATTGCTGCTGTTCCACACTAGAACATAAAAGAAAGGAGTTTAAGTAAGGTTTTGAATAGGTTCATGATTTTGTCTCTGTTTCTTGTTCACTGGAAATACAATTTGTCTGTCTCAAATTCTTTATTTTACTTTTTCGCTAGATTAATTAGGAATAGGTATTCTTTGATTTTTTTTCTCACTATAATTTGTCTTCTTATCTGATAACAGTATAAAAGATAGACCAGTCACTGTAGCTTCTTCATGCATTATAAAATACTCTTATCTGTGACAGCAATAAAAAATTAACTGAGGAATATCCTTGTTATGTCATCCTGAAACTTACCGTGGTTCAGAATCAAAGTCTTAAAAAGTTGATGAGAGTTGTACAACTTAGCTCTTCAAGCAGCTGAGCATTTCTGTAAATGGAACAACCAGCTACAATCCCAGAAAATGAAATTTAGTCGCAGGCACAGATGCCCTTATGTTCATATTAATAATGATGGAAAAACATTTTACATTACTAGCTTCAGGTATTTTATGTGTAAAAATCACTAAAATGATCACCATTGAAATTTAAGTGCTACTTATTTTTTTGTTTTGTTTTTAAACTAACAAATGTTTCTGGCATAATCCTGACGAAAAAATAATTCAAAATACAGCATTCTAATGGCATTTAAGCTAGCTGCAGTTTTCAGAAGGGGAGGCAAGGACTCTAAGGGATAAATTAAAACCTTCATGAACTGTTCCAGTCTGACAATAAAGCCACAAGCATTGAGAAGTGACCTGTACCAGGGCAAAATGAAAAGAGGGAATGGCAAAACCTCTAAGGGAAAACAAAAGGACTCAGTGCGGTGCTCGTTGTATTCCCGTAGTACAAGTTTTCATAATCCTTTTCCTAGAACACAGTGAGAAACGCCAGTCTGGCCTTTGGCTAGTACACGGTGTACCCAAGGTGCGCAAAGCAGTCACCAGCACAAAGCTGTCACATTAAATAAAGGCTTCAAACAGCCCAGAGAACCCTGGAGAGAAGCTTTCAGAAGGTGAAATAACTGACCCACTAGGCTTCATACAAACTTCTGTTTATATATTAATAGTCTGAGGTGAAGATAGTGCTAGCTGAATTCAAGGGGAACTATGAATGTGTCATTCTTTAACCCCAGCTGGCAACTGAGGACCACACAGCCACTCACTCCCCACGGTGGGATTTGGGACAGAATTGCAAGAGTAAAACATGAGAAAACTTGTGGGTTGAGAGAAACATAGTTTAGTAAGTAAAGCAAAAGCCATGCACACATGTGAAGCAAAACAAGGAATTCGTTCACCACCTCCCATGGTGGTGTTCACCACCTCCCATGGGCAGGCAGGTGTTCAGCCACCCCCAGGACAGCAGGGCTCCATCACACCTAACAGCTACTCAGGAAGACAAATGCCACCACTCCAAACACCCCCCTTCCTTCTTTTCTTTCAGCTTTGTATGCTGACATCAGTTGGTATGGAATATCCCTTTGGTCAGCTGTCCCAGCTGTGTCCCCTCCCAGCTTCCTGTGCACCTCCAGCCTCCTCGCTGGTGGGGTGAGGCGAGGAGCAGGAAAGGCCCTCACTCTGTGTAAGAACTGCTCAGCAATAACAAAAACATCTCTGGATTATCAACACATTTTTCACCACAAATCCAACACATGGCCCCATACTAGCCCCTATTAAGAAAATTAACTCTACCCCAGCCAAAACCAGCACAAGGGCCAAGTAAAAGCAATGTTTAACTTCTGAGGCTAAATGATGATATTATCAAATTAGGTATCTTTTTGAAGTCACCAAAAATCATTGTATCCAAAGTCTCAGGCTCAGAGCAAAACACAGCAGTACAGTTTACAGGGAAAAACTACTCTTCTCTGACCTCTATTAAATGATCTACACTTTGAAGCACACAAGCTGATTACCCTATCTGAGTATAGAAATGAACCAGATTTAACGATGATCACAAAATTATTAAGCCATAATTGAGTTTTAGTGGCAGAAGTCTGAAAACCTGCTAGTATCCCATTTTTAAGCAACTGACCCGGGTGCTTCTCACTTTTGTACGTTAATAGCAATCTGCACAGTGTTGAACTATGCCACCTTCTGGCTTTCCAAATGCTATGCCAGTCAGCTCCCTTGACAGAATAACCAACAAGGTCATTGGCAGCCCTGTCAGCATATCCTCCATCAGTTTATGCAGACTGAGGATTCCACATGGGTTCTAAAACACTGAGTAACAGAATTATAAAAAATATTGTACTCAAGACCTCTGAAAATAATGCTGGGCTGGAAAAGACTTCACTCCAACCAATCATCCATCCAGTTTCATTCAAGCAGCAGGCAGACACCTGACAGAGAGACATACATACAAGGAAATGAGTTTTCCTCAGCCTGGGAAGCAGACCTGGGCTAACCCTCATCCACCTGTTTAGGAACTCAGTCATGTGTCATGGAACAACCTGAGACCTCCAACTGTGCTACTTCCTCATAGATTCACCAGGTGCATATTCAGCACCTAGGCAATTATGAGTACTGGTGATTTAGCTAAACTCAGTAGGATATAGTGTCTTTACCAGAAAAACACCATTAATTCCCTTCTTTGACCAGATAGCCTTTTGTCAGAATGGAGGCAATGGCTTGAAGCTTTCCTCCCTGCTACCATTTTTTGAAGTGTTCAGCCACTCTGTTCCCCACGTTGTCCTCTTGAGTGCAGGCTCCAGCTCAGTTACATGACTAAAGATTATCAGTGATAGTAATGGAAGAAGCATCAAGTTCAGAACTTTTCCAATAGTAATAAAAATGAAGCAGCATCTCAACCTCTGCCTGCAACACATCTTGCCAACAGGAGGAGAAACGAAAAGGGAAGAACTTTAAAATGAAGCAAAATGAGCTAAGAAGATAGATTTTTTTGAAAAACAAAACTAAAGAGAGAGTTTGATTCAGTACTTACTCCAGGCATAGAGGCAATCATCTGTTTATGCAAGATTGTTGACTCAGCTAGTTTTGTGCCAGCATCTGCACAAACAAACTAAAAAGAAATTAAAGACAAGTTATATTTAATTAGTTCTGGAGGAACCTGAAGACACTAATAAGTTATTCATTATTTTATTAAAATCAGTTTAGATCTCTTCTTGCTTTTAGTCATGGTTATTTGCCTTTAGAGCTCGCTCTCTTCATAAACAACATAGTTAACTCACCATTATAAATGAGCTAATTTTAATGAAAAAAAAATCTGACTTTAATTTGCTTAATTAACACACATATGCTATGCAGGAGCAACTTGAAGAATATTATATAAGTCAGACTTTATGAGCAAAAAAAAATATTTCTATGCTATTCCTTGCATATATCAGATGCTCCTCTTTCATCATAGAGTAAATAATGATAGAGGATGATAAGGTAGCCATGTTCTTCACAACACTTTCACTGAGGTTCTACATTAATAAATTACATGAAGAATTTTGAAGTTGTGAACATACTGGCATGGTGTGGCATAACCGCTGCATAATTCAGGCCACAACACTACAAAAACACAAGCTGTTCCTGAGAGAAAGTCAGTAAAATTCTGTCATAGTAAATTGCCTTTTTTTCTTCTTTTAATGTCCAGATCCTCTGACCCAAAATCTCTGATGTTCACATCATCCAAACATTAGACCTGCTAATACTGTTATTTAATCATAAAACTTGTTGTCCTAATACTATATTTGCGATTGAGCAATTTTTACTCATAGTTATGCAATGTAACTTTCTAAGAGCAGATAGAAGTGTCAAAATAAGGTCAAAGCCTTCATCATCTTTCCTGAAAATTAATACTGTGGTACCTTCACAGAGACAGACATTGACTACACAATCTATTTTACAGTTGTCTGATGAGCATGTGTTAGCAGTACTCTCAACAACTGCCTGCTTGTCTTGAACGTATTTCCAAACATCCTTTACAGACATAGAACTTACTGTTACACTTCCATGAGTTTTATCTTTCAATTACATATTTAATCCAAACTCAAACTGCCTACCAAGACTCAGAAACTACTCAGTCTGTGTCTTGACAAATAGTCCCTTCTCTGGGATAAATACCGGGAAGACATACCTGAGTTTAGACTAATAATCTAACTGGTATCCTCAGACACAGGCCTGGCTCACATTGATGACTGGTTAGAATTTATTTTACACCAGAATAAGACAAACTGAATAAAACAGGAATCTAACTCATATTTCAGTTGCAAAATGGCCTGAGAGTCTTCTGTACCACAGCTTTAATAATTACATGGGAAGCAAAAGAAAGCCTAATTACTGTTATGGGCTGTATCAATACAGTAAAGACAGTTAAGTCATAGTCCAATCAACAACTATGACTCTCCACTTCTCTTTTAAAAGGACCACTAATGAACTTCAGGCAAATAGATCACAAATTTTCTCCTAAGGCACCCTGTCTCAGAAAAGGCAATGCTGATGCCAGGTCCACTGGACAATACATATGTTGTTTTCCTTTGTGAAGGGTTTCTCAGCAAAAAATTGTGTGTACGTTAGTGTTCCCTCGTACCACATCAGCTGCAAAATAGGACTGTAATTCCCTAAAGAATCTGGCTGAGTATATTTAGCATCCAAGTGAGTTCAATGCACTGCTACAGACATCATACACCACTCACCATATAAGTCAAGAAAAACCCATTGCCAAACAAATGTCATCTATTTCAGACAACATTTTCTTTTAAGTACAATAATAATAAGCAACAATAATAATAAGCAGCAATCAAAGCAATCTCTACTGGTCTCCTGTAAGCTTCCTGTATCTTCTGTACAGAGGACTTTGGGTTAAATAACAGATGTTAATTTATATGTGAAAAACAACTGACAAACTCCATTCCCCTTCTAATGAATAATTAGGCCTTGTTTAGCTCATCTTATCATCAGACTGCCAGTTCCAAGGATCCTTCCTAAAGTTCCAATAAGTCAAAAGGAGTGGGAAACCAAACTCAAAATGAAAAATTTCTGACATTTTCAGTCCAATTCACTGTCATTTATGTTGTCTTAATGTATTACAATATTTGTAGAAAGAGACATCACTGGCAAGAGATTTAATGCCAGCCATATGTAATGAAAAATGGAAAGAAGAATACCCCTGCACTGCAAAATGATGAGAAATGGGCAAGTAATTGCCCTGCCTCTTACTAGCAATGTCTGCTGAGATACAGCTGCAGAATAATGTCTAAATGGGAATGTCTGCTGACTGTAGTGAATATATTACGACACCATAATCTATATTATACCTCCATTTATTATCAGAGTTTTTAAAATACATATTGTTATAAACATATAATACATAACTTCAAATCCTTCCTTTCAGCAGTTAGATCAGATCTTCCAGAAACATTATTGGAACCACCAGATATATACAGATTTACATCAGCTGAAGGTCCAGCCAAAAACAGGAGTGCCCTAAACAAAACAGATCAAATACACTAAACCTTAGAGCCTGATGGAACCAGCAAATCCTAATAAGGCACTAATTTGAAGTCAATTGGAAATCATGAAGACATGTGTGGGTGAAACGTGAGCAGGAGAAAAGTACAGGGAAACAAAATGCTGGGTGAAGAAGCAGTTCCTATGGAAACCCATGGAACTGCAGCACATACATGAGAGCTTTCATTGCCAGGACAAATCAAGAAGACAGACGCATATCCTTTATCATCCAGGACACCTATGCAATGATTGGGGTGATCTGGTTACAATTCTTATAATTTGTAAAGTGCAATAAAGTTAACTCTCAGCACTGGTGCCATCTGTGTCACATGTAGTTTGGATGAATGTGGGTGTCAAATGTACATTCCCAGGAACTCCTTTGTCAGTCAGCCCACAACTGATCTATCATTAAACTAAAGTGCTCCTAGCTCCTTTGTTATCTCAAACATTTTGATTGAATATTTGTATTCTGTGTGCACTGCCTGTATGGACTCTTGTATACAGGCTGACATTTCCATGGGGAACATGATTGTCTTGGAAATCAAAAACATTTCCATTTGGTGCTGTGCTAAGCATACTCTAGCTTTATGGATTCAAAATCACACAATTTGAATGATATTTTAGTGACTTTGTGTGGTGAAGAGGTTAATCAATCTCTTCGTTCTATTGATGACACCAAAGAAAATGAAAATAATCAGATACATATGTGTTTTTATTAGTAGGTTTCTTAAACTACAACAGTGCTTAAGATGAGCTTAGTGGTTACTATGGTATTTAAATGCAAAAGGCTGTTGAATCATTCAGACCACATACTACTGAAGGCTGCCAATTTGCACAGTCAATGGGAGAAGTAGTCATCATGCCTCCAGTAGGCATCTATGGCAGATGGTCTGAATGCAGCCCCTATTCTTTACCACTGACTGCATAAAAACAGAAGCTGGCTGCCTTGGATAGCAGGAAATATGAATTGGTTCATCAGCTTCTGAAAGAGAGACATCATAAAAGCCATTTATATCCACATTAAGTGCTGTTGTGTAAGGTATGAATACACGGCAAAGTGAACAGAGCATATGGGAGCAGTGCTAGGAGGAAAACCCAGGCAATTATCATTTTATCTTTATGAGATAAAGATAATACAAGTGAGAGTTTTGCTTACTCTGTCTATCAGCTGACAGACTCAAATGTGAAGGATAAGTGCTTACCAATTAAATCCAACTGCCAAAACTGACGTGGCGTGTTTGCATTATCAAATAAGGAATTCAGGCTTGACTAGACTGTGGGATTGCCACCCTTTGGGGTAGCCATAGGACTGAGATATACAATGGAGCAATGCCGAAAAATTGCTCATTATGTAGCATGGAAAAAGTCAGTTCAAGTCAACAGCACCAATGCACATGATATCGAGCTGCAACACTGCACCCGTATGACAGAAATAGGTTGGTGGTTCAGATATTTGATGGTCTCAGCTGGGACTGAAAAAAAAGCCTGGGCGTAAAAAAGAAAAAAGCAGCAAACTTCTGCTTTTAACATTAAAATTGATTTTTTTTTTTTTTAAATTAAAAAATCATCAAAAAGAAAAAAAAAAAAAAAAGCGTTATTCTTCCCCCCTAAGACTGATGGCATAATAATTGTTTTCAGAGTTATCCTAACCACTACATAATTTCAGTTGTCAATATTATTTCTCTGTCAACCAGCAAACACTTATTTACTGTGAGTAATGTAGCAGTACTCAAAAGAAAATGAGCCCATAGTAAGCCATATGAAGCTTTGACCCCATAATGAGTGGGGAATGAGTGGAAGGAGCTGTGATGCTGGGAGCATTATGAATGATCTACATCATGAACATCTTGCTTGAACCTTATGGAGTGCTGGTCCCCTATTATTTCAACTTACCACATACATATACTGGTTAGCTCATAGTAAACAATGAAAGCCCACTACCTGTGATTAAACTGACAGATTTCAGTAAATTGTTTTTGTGGGACAGACTAGTGGTGCCAAACAGTGCCACACTTGGCATTTTGGATACAGACAGATTTTTCACAAGTTCGTATCTTACTTCCTCAGATTTTGCTATGAAAAAAATAGCTAAATTCCTACTTCAGCAATCCACAGAATAAAAGGAGCAGAAATATTGTCTGTCTATTCTTTACTGGAAAATTCCATGTTAAAAAAAGAACAGCCTTCAGGGACCGGCGACAGCTTACTGCCTGCCTGAACAGACAGAAACTGAGTTCTGGCCCATGATCAATTAGCACGCCTTCCCACACAAACTGCTCACTGGTCTTGGGGCTATGATTAGAGGAAAAGGCAGCAGCTGGGGCAGCTGCCCCACTGGGACACAGTATGAAGCTCAACAGCTTTAGTCCTTATGGGTCCCTTCCAACTCAAGATATATTCTATGATCCTCAGTACATCAGCAATGATGCACAGGTCATTATCATCCTGAGAAATGTAGATTCTCAATTTAGTTTCTTAAATTTAAGTGTGGAAGTCTAAATATATGCACCTCTGGTAACAAATGAAACTGGTTTGTGATTTTTAAAGTTCTTCCCCTGACATTGCCCTGGTGCTTCCTGCAACCATGCTGCTCTTGCTCTTCCCACCCCTCAACCTGGCCGAGACAGGATCAGTATGGGAATTACATGAGAATCTCCTGTACCTGCACCAACAGCAGCAGATTCATGTCTGGTAAGGGTGACTTTAACTTGAGTGCCTGCAGTAACTCCAGTATGACACTGCGCGTCAAGTAGAATTTATCCCTTTCCTGCAACAGAAAAACACAGAATTATGAAAGTCCTGAAACTTACTGACAGCCACTAGTAAGCCATAAGGACACTTTTTATACAGGGTTGAGAATAAAAAAGTTACAAAAGTGTACTGGTTTCTCCTGTCTTACAAAAAAGCAGCATCATTCATCATTTATATAATTCTACAGAATTGACTGAACAGACATCAATGAGGGTGATTCTCCTTTGATAATGTATCAGGCACTTTATCCAAGAACTTAATATTTTGCATGTGAAATATAGACAGATTTTATAAAACAATTATAAAGCCTAGGCATGTAGTGTAGCTTTCATTAAGTAGTTCCATATAAAGGGAAAAGGGGAAAGCAGTAAGGATTGACTCAGGAGAACAAAACTGGCAATAGTGTTTAGCATTATTCTTTCATTAAACCTGGGAGGAATGGTCTACATTTTACCACACTTCCTTTCTGTTGTTATATCCCTTAAACTAAGGGTGCCTGCACTAAGGCAGCTTGGACATCTATCTTCGTTTATGAGACTAGCAGTACTTTTCCACTTACACAATAAAAGCCATCTTGGCTACAGCTGCTACAACAGGAACAATTTAAAACATAGGGGAAAATCAGCCAAAGGAGATTAGAACACAGAAGCCTAAGAATAGAGTTGTTGAGCTGAGACAGCAAAGAGGTACAAGAGATAAGATGAGCATTTTACACATCTTACTTTGACATTCTCTGACTTCGGAAAATAAGATAAAACTGTAGAACAAATCTATAACCTGCTATTGACCAAAATAACTCAAGATTTTTGATCAGCAGTAAGACTTAAACTGAGCTCTCTTTCAAATGGCCAATAGAGGTGAAAACACGTTGTTTAATAAAGAGGCCATATCCAAAGCATGCTTAAGATTTAAAGCCTAGTATCTTCCATCTTGCAAATCTCATGCCTACTCACAAGTTAAATGTGTGGGACTTTTTACTTTATGACACCTGTAAAGGGGATAAGAATGTTTGCCTCTTCCTCAGAGAAGTCTTTTGAGGTTTACTTGGTGAGGGTCAGTTTGAAGGTAACCTCCAGCAGCATGCAGTAGCAAGTGCAGCTAAAAGGAAAGGAACTGGAGGAGACGAAGAGCTGGTAGTGAGAGGAGCTTTGGCTGCAGAAGACCAAGAGGCCAGTCATCAGCCTTCCTCCTCAGAGAGCTCATGTCGCCACACTGTACCTGTGTAGCACAATGCCAAACAAAGCTTACAGCAACAGCATGTGTCTCCCACAGCACCCACATACCTTTTCATGAAAATAGATTTCAAATATCAAGCCCCTGATATGAGAGAAGGTGCCAAAACAACAGAATGGCATGTCTTTCATGGAAGCTATGATGCCAATCTATAAATCAAGAAACCTTACTTCAAGCTCTTTATTTGATCTTCAGTTACATAGAGTCTTCAGTAACACATTTAGCTGATAGAATGGGCCCCAAACTGCATCAGTCCTTGTCTGACTACATTGCTGCAGTCAAGGGAGCTAAACTTACAAGAAGTTAAGAATCCAAAATAAAAATACATTAATAAATAAATAATTTCCTTACGGGAGCAGCAAACACTGGATCAGATCAGCTGTATTATGAAACCATTACTTGAGGAGACAAGTACTAAATAGTCACACAACGCACATTCACGATTGGTGCTCTGATAAGGATACAATATAAGAATATTCGGGAAAGGTCAGACCAGAACAAATGTCCTCAGTAACTTATCTCCAACAAGGCCATAAGCAGATGCAGAAGGAGGAATAAAATCAAGGCAAGCATGTATAATTCCCACTACTACTCCCCTAGCCACTATTTTTAGCTCAGGGAACTTAAGACCTCAGTATGGTTTCTGTACAATTCATAACACTCAGTGGATTTCTCTTCCACTTACGTGTCTATTTGACCTCTTAGACCCATGTCAACCATTAGCATCCAAAGTACTTGGCAAGGAGTCACACACTGCTGAAGGAACACTTCCCCTTACTTGCTTTGACACTGGTTCCTACTAATTTAGTACGCTCTTGTACTGGAAAAACACGAAATTACCCATCTCTGTCCGAGTCACTTGTGACCTACAGACCTCCCTCACATTCCCACTGTTTTTTTCAGATTGAAGAGGCTTTACTTAGTTGCTGTGTATGTGGAACTCATCCCACTGTTTGATCGTTCTTGTTGCCATTATCTGAACTTTCTCCAATTCCACTATACTGTGATTGGGAATGAGGAACCAGAACGCTGCACAACACTCAAGGTGCAAACCGACCCTGACTACTTGCTAGAATTCACCAGCAAGAGTGACCCTTCCCACCCTCATACGCCTTCACAACCTTGAGACACATACATAATGCACTGCCATGCTCAGACAGCTGACAACTGGAGAAACACAGGACAGAAGCTCCCATCAGCAACCCAGTACAGAAGCCTGCACATACTGGGAAAGAGATGTAATATTCTTCCGAACGCATTAAGCTATTTTACAAACTAACAGCTTTGCCACACAGGCTATAATTGGGCCATAATAAATTGCTTTGTCAGAACACCGGGAAGGAAGCATAGGCTTCATGAATCCCAAGGTTAATAAAACAGTGAGCTACCTTTTTCTCAAAGAAGCCTTCTATCTCATAGTCTAAACTCCTAATGTTTGTTAAGCACATGCAGTGGAGAGAGATGAACCAAAATCAAGCAAAACTGAGTTTTGACATCTGTCCTCTTGCTTCTTGCACTGTAAATTAGGAGTGATGACACTGAAGTCAATAGCCCAGAGCACCCTTCCTATCAAAGTCTACTTATTCCTATCATTCTGCTAGTGATAAATAGGTATAAACATAGTTCAGAGATACTTCAAGAACTTTGTATTCTGCCACAAAGCTGTAAATGGGTGTTAGTTCATAACACCCAGGGGAATCACATGTGTAAACTTGATACCAAAGAGTCAAGAGTACAGCCCCTTATTTAGCCTTTGTTCAGCCAAATTAACCCTCTCTAATATCTATGCACCCCTACTAAAAATGCCTTGCAACCTTTAAACTTGTGACTTAGAAGTAGAAAGTGAAACCACTGAAGTTAACTTCTAGCAGTATTTCAGGGCCCAAACTTAGTAATAAGAATAGCAAATTTGGTTATTCAATGGTGTGATATGCTATCCTCTAAGTAAGTCAGTATAAAGCAAAATTCTTTTATTCCTGTTGCTACTACAGTAATTACTGAAGATAGTAAATGCTGAAGATAGGCAACTGTAAGAGATAAGAAAGACAAAAAGTGTCCATTTAGGCCCTTAAGATACTTGAAAGGAAAGCTAAAGATACGAAGACTACAATCCACAGAAGAGATGCTACTTAACAGAGAGTTCCAGAGGCGATGAAAAAAAAATCAAACTGCTGAGCTGGAACAGAAACTCAGACAAGGAAATATCAGATTGTTGTGAGTCTTCAGGCTCCAAGACAAGAGGAATGGAGATATTCCTGCCACAGGGTATTAGGAAAACGTTGTCGATAAAAAAAGATTTGGAGTAGTTCTACAGCACTAACCTCTACCAAGTGCATGTCAGTGTGGCTTGGTCTTTGAAAAGACAAGAATTCTCCACAGCTTAGCTGAAAATTGGTGTTTTGTTCCAGCCAGCACAGTCAAAGTTGCAAAGCAAGTAATTAAATATAAATAACTTCAATGTTCACAAATCGTATTCCTTCTGGAATTCACTTCTGTGTGGTACTCTATCACAAACACTTACTTGGGTATAGTGATTTCCACTGTAGAGAAACACAGACATCATAACTGATCTGTTTTTTTTATTAACAGCAGTCATTAAATTAATATTTCTAATGTAAAATCATGGTAAACTTTCAGAAATAACAAAGATGATGTAGTGTGGAGTTCCACTAAATTAAGGACTTCGTGTCTACAAATTGAAGGAGACCATTCACTAATGATTCCATTTCTGAGTCACCAGGTTGCATTAAACTAAATCAAGAAGGAGATTTTACCAAGCTCTACAATCCAAGCTTCCTGTGTGCAATTAAGTACTCAATATATTAATAGAACATTGAACCAGGAAGCATGCAAGAAATACATAGGGGGTTTTAATAAAATTTCTGTGAAATTACTGAAACTGCAGAGCACGAGAGGAGTAAAACATTTCCTCTATTTCACAATTTGCTTCAGCAGGTAATGAAATAGTCTTACCAGACCACAAATGCAAGAGCAATGTCTTTGCTTCAGTTTTAAATGGGCCTTTTTCTGTTTCAGTGAAAAAGCCCCGCTGTTGGACTTTTAAGTGAATATTTTTCTCACTTTGCCTTGCCCAAAGCCTTAACCATAGATCTAACCCAAATTACTTCGAAACGCTGGGTGGTCTCTTCTGGATTCAGGGTTTTTATCTTTCAGAAACTCCTCTCTTTCAACAGAGACAAAACACAGTACTGTTTGCTTGCTGTAATTAAACACATTGTTAGTTTCTATTTAATGCTTCAAACCATTTTATCTGATAAAAGTTTTCCTTAATTTCTTGGGGTGCAGTTTTTCTGTGAGAGTGTCATTCCTTTTATATTTCTTCTTCGCTGTTTGTCCAGTGATATTTTAAGACTTACCAAGCCCAAAGCAATGTGTGTTCCCATTGTACATTACCAATACAGAAAATCATACAGCTACTTATGACAGAACGTTTCCTGAGGATTAATTACTGTTTTGACAAACATATTGAGGATGGAAAACTGTAAACTTAGTGGCTAAAGAAATGTTTTTGCTCAGTACCTTAATCTACATAATTGAGCATACAGGGCCTCAGTAAAAGGTTCGATTTGGTTTTGTGGATTTTGTTGTTCAACTTCACACTAAAAGCTACAAAAATGAACTTGAGTAATAGCTGAGTGTTATTTATCTACCATAGCTTTCATCCAGGAATCTTAAAAACTTTTTAGAAGGAGCACATATACTGTTCTCTTTTCTACACAGCTTACAGCCATGCATGCCAAAGTGAGATACCTAATAGAGAATGCAACGGGAACCAAGAAGGGAAGTTCCTAACTTGGAGTCTTCTATTTTACTGGTCTATCTGTTGCCTCCCCTCAAAGCTGCGCTCTCAAAAAGCACTACCAAGAATACTTGTTTTTATTGTACAAGGTATTTGGCTAAACTTGTGCATTAGGAAATGTATGACTGTACAGACACTTTGTCATGTGTGAATACCAGGTATCATCTCTAGAGGAGAAAAGAATTTCCAAGTGCTGAAATCACACCAAAATACTTTTCTGAGCAATGTTTTTCACAGGTTCCCTTTATGTGTGTCCATACTGTGCCTGTGAAACTCAGTATTATTAAAAAGCATTGAATATGATTATTTGATTAGCCAAACTACATTAAAACTGTTGATGTCTGAAACTTGACACTGATTTAATCGTTACTTACAAACATATTACTTGAGGGAAGTAGGATTTTGTCCTATTTTCAGTTGTCCCTAAAGGAAGACATAGTCTCAGTGTTACCTTAGTGAAGGCTCGGTAGCACAAACCACACAGTTCCACCAGGTAGGCCAGAGTGAAGACAGCATTCTGAATTACGAAGCTTAATAATTTTGAAAAAGGCTCCAGAAGACTCTGCAATGAGATTATTTAGAGAAATCAATAACTGGTTGCTCAGTGAAACAAAAGGCATTTCAAATTCTGAAATGCCCAAATGGAACATTATTTTTAGCTCAGAGGCTCTCTTGCTGGGATTTATACACTGTTTCGGTCAAAAGCCTATTCTATCTAGCACGTGCCCTCATGATTGTATGAGAAATTAGAAGAAGAAATGAGAAAATAGTTTCACTTATGACAGTGCTTATGAAGCATAAGAGATTCTGTAGTGTTTGTGCAGGAAAATCTCACTGACCTCAGTGGAATTGTACTGCAGAACTTCTAAGGAAACTCATTATTATCATTCTTTTTTCAAGAAAAAAAATAAAAAAGAGAACATCAAATCTTTATACATTCACACCCACACAGGAATGTAAACCCACCCACACTTTACTGTAACCTAGATTCCAAAGCTCTTATCATTCTCCAAAGAGTATTGGACTGCGCCATTTTATGCTGACATATAATGCTCTCCTAGCTGGGGGAGAAGAACACGTTCATAGAATAGTGCAGGCTGGCTAAATCTGAGACAACAGTTTTGCCTTCCTGGAACTTACCCTGGTGGCACTAGTGGTAGGTATCTTCAACAAGCAAATCATGATTCTTAAACTAGAATCTAAAGAACACTGAACATATTTGAAGGTAGGAAAGAAAAGGGGAAAAAAAAAAAAAAAAAGAAAAAAAACAGGATTAGTACCTTTCTGTGCACATTTTGCTTTTAGTGGTAGCAGCTATGAATAAGTTATAGGTGAAGTGTGAAAAACTGATCCTTGATGATTGACTTTTACTTGCTTAGCCTAAACTGGCTTATTCCTGAACAGACAGTCATACCTTTTCAGTGGTAACATACCACAGCATGGGCCTTGAGATAAGGAAGTGTCACTAAATGGCTAGTTAGAATAGTCAACCTTAGACCTTTTAGGACAAAAATCTCCTAGAAATATATTTCCATTGGAATAAAAATGGATTGGGGGGTGGGGGAAGTGTGTTAGTAGGAGGTACACACCATCTACCTAATTTTTTATTTCTGTGGTTGCCCTGGGCTGAGACATTTTCCCCAACACCCCAAGACAGGGCTGCATCTCACACCCCATAACATCAAAATGCACCCTGGCAGTAGCTCTCCAGATACTACTCTAAAGTTGTTTCTTATGGTGTAGTTGATTTTTCTTCTGAGTAAATGACACAGGTTGCAGCACTGAATGGTACTTTTCAGGGTCTATCTATTGTCTTGCCTTATCCCTCTTGCAAATATCTAGAGCAGCAGAGTTATTTATGACCCTAGAAGAAAGAACAGGAGATTGCAAGTCCAGGAGCAATCAATTGTTTTACTTGTAACACCAATGATACCTCCCACTAAAAGGGAAAAAAGAGTAAACAATCCATCTAAATGTTCTGTGAATGGAAGATATATAGTTAAAACTATTAATATCCAATTAATTTCTTTGCATTATTTCAGTTAGACAAAATACAACAGACCAGGGTGGCAAGTATGAAAAGGGAAAGGTTACTACCTGTTTGGCTTGGTAAGTGCTGCAGGATAGTGCTTCAAATTACCAAAAGCCTGAAGAGGTTTCAAGATCTGACTCTTGCATAGTAGTACAAAGGAATTTGTTTTCATTCATGTAATTTGGTGGTGACACCCAATTTAAAAGACAATGTTGTAAGTCACAAAATTAGACTTTGGATCCCTCAACTCATACTGAGCAACACTGCTTTGCACAGAAGAAACTACCACTAGGCTCACTCACACCATAGGAAACAAAGTCAGAATACGTGCATCAGAATCTCATGTTTACTGGAAAGACTCAGAGAAGTTTTTACTCTGTTTACTGAAAAGACATCTGGAGATATACACACTAGGAGACAAGATCCTCCTGTATGTCCTCTGCACACTCAGAATTCAGATCCCTGAGCTTCCAGGCACAGGTACTGCAACTATATTCTGATTACAGCCAGAACTACAACCTGGTGAGCCAAACAGGCTAGGCTCAATTCCCACCAGTCTCAGGTCTCCCTGTCTGTCTGACTATTGCATACTTTTGGCAAATTAATTAGGTGGTGCTGCTCATCTTGAGAGGTTTTTGTGTTTTGTGGTTTTTTTTAACAGTTGGATAACATCTTCTTAAACAGATGGATTTTTATTGACAAAATTCTGATTCTCTCAAATGCAGTATTCTAATCTGACAAAGACAAGGCATGAAAGCGTAGAAGAAAAACCCAACAGTGGGGTGAGGAGTACTCTGGTCAGAGCTGTTATTGCTACCCAGGGAAACTATAATTAAAGGGATGGACCAGACATACAATCAATCCACTCATCTGGAAACATCATTAGAAAATATTTGCAACAGCCTACTCCAATTTCTCATCCACAGCTTTCCCAACTGCTTTGGCACATCCTGACCAATGGCAGTATAGCTCGTTTCAGATGCCCATACATCATACCTTAAGTGGCAAAACACAAGGGAGTTTAGTAAAGAAGGTCTGAAACTGGTTACTAATTGTGGTCCAGAGGTTGCTGGGTGAATCCATCGGCAAGGCTTCCATAAAAGTAGCAATATTTTCCAGACAGCGTAGCATCGCACCCCCTGCTGGCAAGTTCTTTTTGTTGTTCAAACCCTGGAAACAAAATGAGAACTGTAAACAAACGTACACATGCAGAAATGGTCCCTTAAACAGTATTTGGAAATGTTGAGGTTAATTTCTTCAGACCAAATAGTCCTTACTTCTTCTATAATGCTAAGGATAAAATGCTGTGCAGGGAATTTGAACTCTGTATATGACAGTTAAGTCTAGTTTAGTTCACAGATTCGTAGATTCATTCAGGTTGTAAAAGATCTTGAACAACATAAAGTCCAACCACTACCATTACACTGCCAAGTTCACCACTAAACCATGTCCCTGAGCACCACGTTTACAGGTCTTTTAAACACCTCCAGGGATGGCGACTCTACCACTTCCCTGGGCAGCCTGTTCCACTGGTTGACAACACTTTTGGTGAAGAAATTTTTCCTGATATCCGATCTAAACTTCCCCTGGCAGAACTTGAGGCCATTTCCTCTTGTTCTATCACTTGTTAATTGTGAGAAGAGATCAGCACTCACCTCACTACAACCTCCTTCCAGGTAGTTGTAGAGGGCAACAAGGTCTCCCCTTTTCTCCAGCCTGAACAAGGCCAGTTTGCTCAGCTGCTACTCAGAAGAGCTGTTCTCTAGACCCTTCACCAGCTTCTTTGCCCTTCTTTGGACCTGCTCTAGCACCCCAATGTTTTTCTTGTACTGACGTGCCCAAATCTGGACACAGTATTCAAGGTGCAGCCTCACCAGTGCGGAGTACAGGAGGATGATCACTTCCCTAGTTCTCCTAGCCACACTATTTCTGATACAAGCCAGGAAGCTGTTGGCTGCCTTGGCCACCTGGGCACACTGCTGGCTCATATTCAGCCAGCTGTCAATCAACACCCTTAGGTCCTTTTCCACTGGGCAGCTTTCCATCCACAAAACCACTTTTACTTCTTAATGTATTGACCAAAAGACTTTGAGCCAATATGTTATAAGCAGGGTCCTAACCTGGAACCTGCTTAGAATGGCATGGCACTAAAAAAAATAAAGAACTCAAGTATTCCCAGTGGATTGCCCATGTTTTCCTTTTGACAGTTTGAAACAAGGTACATTGATTTAATGTTCAGTAGACAAAACGTATGGTTTTTTGGCCTGGAAATACATAAGCAGTTTCGAAGTGATGTCAAAATCTTTGTATGAAGCAACTGCTGTGTTCTTGGAAAAGCAGGATACACGCAAGAGATTAGTGCTAGTAGGAAGATAAAAATCACAGTAGAAACAAGCCAAGCACACAGAAGGCAGTCAGTGCAAGGCAGGTAATAAGTCTGTGGACTACTTGGAGAAACTGCCATCAGATACAGAGGGGAGCAAGAACTGAGATGCATGAGCAGAAATGTTCCTGAAGACCAGAAATAGTGCTGGGGTAAGGGATGGCCCACACTACCAATGTGGGGGGTAGCTCCAGGAGCTGCTATGAGAAAAAAGAGTTTTAAAAAAAAACAACCAAACAAAACACCACCACACCACACATAGACACACCTGTCAGCTAGAGTGAAACCCAGAAGGAAAACGGTGGGGACAGCCTAACTCTGCTTCTAGGAAGACAAAACAAAAATTCACATTGCTTGTGGTGATCTAAGTTTGAACTCTTAATGAGTGAGGAGAAATGATCCAATATGCCCGAGAATGGTAATGAAACCAGCAGCATTATCAGAGCAATTTCCAACATACCTCTAACAGCTGGCTCAGTGCAGCGATGGAACTCAGCTCACTAAAGTCCATAAGAGATGTGGCCAAGGTCCGTAAAAAACTTCCATCTGAAATTTGAATGACATTTTTGCTCTGGCTGTCTGTACAGAGGTAACTGAAAGGGTCAGAAATGCAGTCAGGCATCACATGTTACCTTTAATATTGCTCTGGAAGAGCTGTGGGAAGATGCCGTTGGGAGCCAGCTGATGGAACACACAACGGAGGAACTGCTTGGCCACACCTGCAGCATTTCCAGGGATCATCATGCTGAGATGAAAGGGAGGAAAAGGAAGAAGAAAGAAACTGCATTCCAGACTAAACATTCTTCAAAGCTTACTCCACAGAGAAAATAAAAATAATCCTGTTATTTTTAATTAGGGAAATGTTCGGTTAGGAGAGAGACAGTCAAAGGCAGAACTGTCCCGATCCCCAAAACCAGCTCAGCATGTTGATTTTATCACTTCAGCTCGACTGTGCAGAGCTGAAAATGTTATGTACACATATTAAAGGTATTGAAATCTCAATAAACAGTTGCATTTTTCCTGATTTTCCACACAGTTTTATTTGTGAATTACCTGAGTTTGAAATACAATCCTGGTCCCACTCAGTGTATTTCAGTGATCCAGGATAAAGCTCCTGGCATTACCATAAAACACATAAGCAATAGGTAAACACACATAATATTTATTTGCCTCTTGCAGTTTTCTTCAAGAGATCAGGTACTTCCTAGTCACTCATAAAATTAATGGTTTCATTTAAAAAGCTGAAGTATTATCTATTTACTCAAACTCGCATCTGAACATGTCTTACAGCCTCTCAAAATTAATTTATCCTATTCAGTAGCTGATTTACATAATAAGACATCACTACCACGGCTTCTCCGTGGACAAGGATGAATCACTTGAATGAATGTATGGAGACAGTTTATCATGACAAATACCAAATACATACTGCACTAGGAAGAGTTGCACTGAAATCGTGGAAAGAAGAAAGCATCTTTAAATTATCTCTGAATCTGATTTTTTTCAAGCTCAGCACACATGAATATGGATTCCTGTTGATCTTCAGAACACATGAGATACTTCAAGTGGGAAAGGACAGGTTTTTCCCCCTACCCACAAACCTTAAATAAATTTTCAACAAGGTAAATATATTTGATTTCAGAGCCAGGGAGGATGATGCTTTAGATTGTTTCATTTTGGCCATGGTATCCTTTGCTACCATACCTTTCTGCTTGGTTAGAAAAACTGGTACTTGATGCCAACCTGGAATAAAAATAAAAAAAAATAAGTGAAGCTTCTATGCATTTTTGTGCTTCATTTTTAAGTAAGCCAATAAAGTATCTTTTTTTAAATAATAAACAAGAATTTCAGAGAATGTTTAAAATTGCCACCAGAAAGATCTTCTTCTAAAAAGCACATAAAATCGAGTCAAATCATATTTGCACAACATACAAACTCTATTCAGTCTTGCAGTCTCACAAATACCTAACAGCTCTAAGGACAAGTCTGCCTGCCTCCCTGTACTAGTATGAAGATAATGAAGTAAAGCTATTGCCTTACCTGCACATCTGGATAATTAGTAACCTAGAGGGATTTGGAAATAAAATAGTTTGCCAGAAGTTGCCTACTGGCTGAATTGTTTCTGCTTAACACAGCAACATAGACTAAGCCAAAAATTCTACTTGGCAGTCTGAAGTGAGGCTTCTAGTTCTAGATCTTGGCACCTAAATAACCATCTATTTTCAGAAACACTAAGTACCTACGAGCTCTTACAAAGTCAGATGGGAAATACTGGGTTCTCAAAAATCAGGTCATTTATTTTAGTACCTAAACATAGACGTTAAAGCCAAATATGGACATTCAGTGAAGAAAATACTGAACACAATCTTAAAGCAGAATCATTCACTTCAATAACCAGAACATGTAAATGAATAGCATCAGGGCTTATAACATCAAAGCAACTCATCTTTAATACTAAAGCCACTAAAAAGCAATTATAAAAGGTGTATACTGGAAACACCTCTTATATACAAAATAAAATATAGTTTCACTTTCATCTGCTGCACATCAGTATTTCAGCTGGTATAAGTTGGTACATCTAAATGGAAAGTTCATAGAGCTACACTAATTTACATCAGATGATGAACTTCAATGTTTATCTTTGATTCATCATCATTTTAGGCTGGATTGAGCTGTTGCTCAATCTGCTGTCACCGTCTGTTCTGAAGAGAGTTTCCTCTGTAGTCACCACGGCAAATTCCAAAAAGGACCCTACAGCAGTTCAGTCAAATGCATCAGTGTAAAACAAAATAGATGGATCATTAATGATGGATGACAAGCTGGGCACCCAGCATATTTTCAGCAGTGCTACAATCTCAGGCTGGATGGTGCAGGGAACTGTAGATTATATTCTCTTCAATTGTCCCAGCATAAATCAGAAAAACTCATTTGAGCCCACACTAAAATACAACATACTAATTCCAGTGTGCAAAGCTAATTCTGGGTGAAAACGGGTCTGAAGCTACCTGCAAGCAATACAGACCTTGATTCTGGAATAACTCAAGCAACTGCTTACAAATGAGGATTTCTGCAGAATGCAATGAGACTAATCACATGCTCAATGGACTTTATACTTACTTTCAAAAATCTGCTAAAGCATACAAATAGAACAGCATAAAATATTTCTTTTAAAAAGTATCAATCTCCTGTGCGAAGTTTTTCTCTCATTTTAAATACAATAATGCAAGTGTGGGTTTTATGACAAACAAAACATTTGGTTTCTAACTTTGGAAAAACTTCATGAGACACAAATGACACTGAATGCTTGGAACCATCTGAAACTTTTTGAAATTGCAGCTTGTATTTATCGCTACTACTCTAAATATTTTGTTGCACAAAGGCCATGAACCCCCAGCATTACCTCCACTTTGCAGACCACAAAGCAGAACAGTAAACAGGCAGTAGACAGTAAATGGGTGAGTTCAAATTTGTACATGTTAAGAAGAGAAGTTAAGCTTTTCAAAGCTGCTCACTAACGCAAGAGGCTAAATGTCATTTTCAAACGGGGCTTTGATACTTGGAAAGCTAAATTTCACTGGAAATCAATGAACTCGACACGTCAAAAATCTTGATTCAGGAACTAGAGCATAAAGTTAAGTGCATGCCAGAGTCTTCTAGACATGTCAATCTCTAATTGTCTGTAACTCGAATCCAGAACTTCTTCTCTTCTGAAAATCCCAATAGATGCCTATCTGTACCTGTGGGTACGCAAATAACTTTTGAAAAATCTCTCTGTATATTGTTTAGGTATTCTGAAAGACCCTGGATTTCCCAATTCCTCGTTTCCTCTTCTAAGCATGACAGTAATAGTTGGAAACTGCAGATCTATTTGATTCTCTCCTCTGCTGTCAGATAGGAATTTGGAGGTAATGACACAGCACTGCTTGATGAAAGTCAGCAAATTAAGTTACATACATGAGGAACCTGAGTGCCTCTCTGCTTGTATACGTTATTTATTTTGCCTGTATTCAAAATAATCATTTAGTGGGGAGCCTCTTACTGGACTTAGAATTTGTCAGAAATGAGAGTCAGTAGGAACAACAGAGGACATTTACCAGGAATACTCCATGTTGCGTGCCATCTGCTGCTCTGAAGCAATCAGCTGCCTCATTCCAAAGATGCAGCATTTCTTTCTCAAAGCACAGAAAAAGGTAGCCTCTCTTGGCCCTCATCCCTCGATAATGTATCTTCCAAACAATTTACTCTCTGTGGCTGTAGTACTGCTGTATTTACAAGGATCACACAGAATGGCTAGCATTTGTCTAGATTAGAAACTTTGCCTCCATCAGAGTTCATTAGCAGTGACAGCAGGGAACTCTAGCCTTCAGGAATTGCAATTAAGGAAATGGAGGAGGACTTGAATAGCTGCTGTATTTAAAAAGGAATTGGGAGGTAGTGGAAGGGCAGGGCTATGAAGGACTGTGCCTCTGCAGAAGTCACAGACAAACAGTTTTAACCTGAGTCACTGAAAAGAACACAGATAGAAGAGCTCTGTAGCACCTCTGCACTTCCAGTGCTGCTCAGGAGTTTCTTCTGAAACACCCTCAATACATCACTCCCACCTCTTCGGCAGGAGGTTGAAGAAGTGGCTGAAGCAGCAAGGACATAATAGTAATGGTGTGCTTCATTTATCCTGTGCACACAGGTATAAGTCACAAACAAAAAATAATAGTTATCAAATGTTCAAGACCTTATTATAGACAATCTCATGTAGCAGCTGGTTAGAAAGCTCTTATAAGGCGAAGCAACTCAGTCCTAATTAGCACACAAAATACGGCTGAAAAAAGGCTGAAGAGCTTCATGTATGTTGATGAGTGATCAACAGTCCTCCAGGAGCAACAAAATTCAGAAAAGCTAACCACATTTGTGCATAACTTCTAAAGTAGGAACTACATAAAAGTGAAAAATTCTGTGAAAGCAGCAAAAAGAGGTGGCTACGAGAATTCAGTCTTTACAAGAAGCACAGAAGCCATTTCAGAACGTTACAATGGAAGCAAAGGGCCACGGGACCTCACCTGCTAAGAACAACTTCAAGAGAGCAGAAGAAAGGAAAGGTGAGGGAGGTTATTAGAAAAAAAGGCAGCTTCTTTTCAAAGGCTGAAGTCATGTCTCAAATGAGAGCAGAAAAGAGCATGAATCCAATGTAAAAGCCACAAAAAGTCAGGCAAAAAAAAAAAAAGTCACAAGGAGCAACAAATAGAATAAAAACTAACAGTCAATTTTTCCTCAAATAAAGTAAGATCAAGAAGCACACCACAGAGTATGCTACATAAATTGCTGTTCACGTAATTAACAGGGCACTCAAGGAAGGTTAAGGGCACTGCAGAAAAGTGGAATTAATTCTTTACATCACTGCTTACAGTGGGACAATCTGGCAAGACTCCCAAGCTGGAATCTCCCTTTGGAGGATAAAAGGGGAAGACATCAAAAGAGCTGCCCAAAATTGAAGTGACAGTGGAAGAAGTTACACAAGAAATTGATAAAATGTTGAGTAATAAAGCAGAGAGAACCAGACGCTATTCACTTATGAATTCTAAAATACATAGCTTCACATTGTGAAGTTTATGTAAATCCAATTCCAGGCATAAAATTTCTTTCAATCATAAAGGAGTGAGAAAAGTTCTGAGTTTACCTTCCTACAGACTGCATAATGTCCAACAGCAAAGGAGCAGCCAAGTCTGGACTAAGGTGAATGAAGGTTGAGAGAACAACTATGGCCAGGCCTAGTGTTTCTTCATCATATTCTTCAAGAATAGCCCCACAGTCATGGCACCTGCAAAGGACAGTTTTAAAAACTGACTTCAACAACTTTAAAACAAAATATTACTATTTATACGTATGTGTGTGACTATGTCTTTTTAAAGTACTACTTTTAACTACACTCTATTTAAAATTTATTCAGAAAGATAATGTAATTGTGATCTTTCTACAGTAACAGTCCATGGCTTTCAAACACTAATAAAGCCTCTCAGTAGCTGCACTGGCTGTTTCTTCAATGACAAATGAAAAAGGGCCACAGGGCAGGCTTTGTTTCGGGTCCTTCATCAGTAACTGTCAGCCAATTCCCTCACTGTATTGGACTGCTTCAGTTTGCAGTGAAGACCAGCACTCAGCAATGTGAACACCAGCCAGTTTGCATGAATTGGGCTCAGGTGAGGGCTCAAAACCCTGGCATTCTTCTGTTTAGCAACACAGAAGAAACAGTGACGCACACGATCTTGAAGAGATGGAACAATTTCATAGTATCCTTCCTGTCCATCATGAATTGTCAGTAACAAATTATACAATTAGGAAATAACGACACAATTGGTTCCTACAGCAGTTATAGCTGTTAAGAAAGGAATGAAAGAACATTTCAGGGGCATGGAACCTTAGCCTTCAGATAATTCTCCTTTCCCAGGGCAGATTTGCTGCTTTGTCACTTATCCTTCCTTAAATGCTCAAAGAGAACGATGAAGTTCTGAAAGGGCTCCATAATGTCTAATTATAAAGGGGATGTCAGGTTTAGGAGAGATGAGACAGGCTTTCACAGCATATGAAAACGGCAAACCAGTGTGGGAAACTGGTTTATCTCAGCCCAGTAGGAAGGCTTGCTTAATTTGATCAATCAGTTACTAACTGCAACAAATTGTGATATTTTAACTTAATGGAATTGTACAGGCAATTTTCTTGCCTTTGTTACTGAACAGAAAGAAAAAAATGCCAGCAAAGTAATGAAAGTCAAGCTCAGCTGGTCTGTATGTTAATAGGTGGTGCTAGAGCTTTGGTGAAATGGGCAAAAGAAGTACCAAAGATAAGTCTCACTTTTGGGATGCTTCACTTTCTTACACAATAAGGTCCATTCCCAGTCATAGCCTGCACAGTGGCCCTGTCTTTCCCCAGTGATCATCCTGGCACATTCATCCACTGGACTGAGCACAGGAGCATGACCAAGTTCTGGTTTCTCTTCTCAGTTTTTGACCAAATCAATGCACAGCTCTCCGCTGACTGCTTTACTTCTCCATTAAATGAGTAATCTTACATACTTCATTTAGAGGCATTTTAACCAACCAGTTAAGGTTTGCAAAAAGCTGTGGCATCAGTGAGTATCAGCATTTAAAATGGTATGTTGATTACACATGATTACACATCAACAGGTATCTACTTCAACAGAAACACAAAGGAATTTTTAAAAAGAGTGGTTTGTTTATTTTTTAAATAAGGCAAAAGTGGTTTCCAGTGGATCGCAAGGAACTCCTGATTTAAAATAGGATGAAAGTGCTTCCCCTGCCCTCCAAGCAAATACAACAGCCTGAGTCATCATTTCCCTGTGCAAACTCACACATGTCCTACTGAATTAAAAGTACACCTTGCTGGCAGTGTTTAGAAAATGTTTACCATGTGGTAAAAAAAAAAACATATTTAAAAACTCAGCATAGAGATAAATAATAGAATGGACTTTATATTTCCATAAAGTATATCTATACTTTATTTGACCTATGCAAAGTTCAATGAGTTCTTTGAAAGGAACTGAAAAAGAACTTACTTGTCAGTCATCAAAATGGGCTGGTCATCAGCAAATTCTTCTGGTGCAGGTACAAACATACTGACTATACTGGGTGCTGACAGCAAGCTAGATTTTGTGGCACCTTAAGGCAATCGGGGGGAAAAAGAATTTTTAAAAAGAGAAAATCATTAAACAGAAATCCAAACTGCTTGAAAAGCAGACTTCTAAAGAACCATAACAGTTTTACTGTACATAGAAATAAGAAACAAGGTGTCTACAAAAGGATATATAGCACATTCCTTGCTTCTGCTAGATCATTCCACTTACCTAGAACTACCAATTAAAAAAACCCAAAAACTTAAGAAACAAAAAATCCTTAGAAAAAAAGATAATGAAGAACAAAAATTCCAGGAAGGCAGATGTAATTGTATCAACTCATTTTTTAGGGACAGAGGCTGATTCTGCAGTTCCTCTGAGATTGGACACCAGATTTCCAGTATTCCTCCATGCTCCTGGGTAACTACCTTCTCATAGTTCTTGCTGAATGAAGACGTTCAAGTGTCTCATTATCAGGTCACCAATCTATTCATAACATTTGTAACAGAGGCATATGAATGTAAACAGGAAAGGACTGCTAGAAGAAAAAAATCACGAGGAGTTGAGAAACACTGAGAACATTGGAGAGCTGATGGGCACAAATGCTTGCCACTGAAAGGCTTCACAAGCATTTTATCCTCCGAAGCAGAGTTGTTCAGCTGGGTGCACAGCCACTGTGATCATGCCAGCGTGTGGGGTTCCTTTTGCCTTTGGCACTTTTTGTGCACCTAATTTCTGATAGATGCTTGTTTTAATAGCAAAAGTTATGTAAAATAGAAGATTAGAACTCTTGAGTTCTCCAAGTTCTGCTTTCCAGAATTACAGCAATACAGAGTGATCTGACAGTCTAACGTCTCCTCACTATGGTGGGTTTCCTTCCTTCATCCCTTTGTTTTCATCAAGCAGACAACAGTAATTGCAGAAAACACATACAGAAGAGGCAACTCTCCAGCTACTCTGGTTGCTAAGAAAATCTCAAGAATAATCAGACTCATCCATGAGCCATAAAGAACTTGGATCAAAGCTACTGTGATGTACAAGTCACTTCTTTCATCTGAGATGTCTTGTGATGATAATTTAAATATTATTAGCACTTCCATTCTCCAGGCCACCAAGACAGAAAAAGAGACTCAATTATTAAATAAAAATACCTCTTTTGGTTGTCACATGTTGCTGGCATGATAAAGAAAGCATTGCTTCTGTTCCCATACAGTTCAGCTCCAATAACGAATCCAGGGAGCTCAGCTGGTAGACACCACCATTATGTATACAAACTGTCCCCAACGGTATTTCATTCTAAAGACCAATCTATGCAAAGCTCAGTTTGTGAACCAATTTTTAGAAGAGCACCAATGGCCTTTTGATGATAATGGATTACTTAATCTGTGATTGAACTACTGACTTTCTTGCTAGTTGTTTCAATCTGCAGATTCAGATTTAATGTTAATACTAGCCAGATTACTTAACCATGGAAACAGAAGGTAGCTTCTCCACCTATGCAAGATTCAGGTGGAATTTCTGATGAGACAATCCCAATTACTGCAGAAAAAGCAAATTTACTATCAACTCTCCGGCAAAATAAGAAGCTCCCACAATTTCTAAACTCAAAATTAGAGTGATGAAGGCTTGTTTCACAAGAGTAAGACAGGCTTTGAACAATCATTTTATTAAGTATGGAAGGAAATATTTCTTTTACATTCAGAGTTCAGTACTTTGTATTTGTCCCCTGAGATTTTGTTGGACATGAGCAGACATTCCAGGAAGTCCACAATACTCTTCAGTAATGTAGGACACCATCCAGAATGCAAGGAATAGGAGTAGATTGTCACATATTTCTAGCCCAGCTTTTTTTCCCTCTCATCAATGAATGACGATCCCTCTAACCATGACTTCTAAAGTTTCCCTATCATGTTCTCTGGATGCAAGTCCCAACACACCATACAAATGCTAAAAGCAGTCTTAGCAGAGAGATCTGGTCAAATGGACACTGAACTAACCTCTGATTCTCAGTGGTGGTCCCTCCAAGTCGGGGTTTAAGCAAACAGGGACATTGCACAGCCGCTTTCCATGCTGTATCTGCTCTGTGAATAAATACAGAACTTCAGTCTCCAGAACTATGAAACCAGCATATTGAGCTGGAGAGCTCCAGCTATGAGACCAGCACCACAAGTCTTAAACAATTAAAACAAGAGAAGGACATATACAACAGCCATTAAAAAAAAAAAAAAAAAAAAAAAAAGAGTTCTTTTTCTAAACATAGAAAAGGATGGGGGAGGGAAGCAGAGAGAAAGATGAAAGCAGTCCTCAAACGAAAAAGGACATAGATAACCTAATACCAAAGAAGGCATTATAGAAAAGTGTCATTAAACAAGAAAGGGAGTGCCAGCCATAAAGATTCAACAAGATGTGGAATATATGAGTCACAAAAAGAGAAAGACATCATTTAGAAACAGCAAGAAACTAGAAGTTAGGTATAGTTTGTGCTGTTAGAAGCTAGACACAAAATGATTTTGTTTTCTAGACAGCAAACTTGGGAAAATAGTGGTTTGAAATAAGAAATGGAAGAGATACATGCTACCTACCAATGAAAATAAAAATAAATAAATAAATGAATGAATGAACCAAGCATGCATCATGTACTTATGTGGAATAAGACTATTTCCTGGTCCTTATACCCAAATATAATGAGTCTTTAAATTGTGGTGTGACACTGAAATGACAAATAGCCACACTGACCATTTGTCCTTAAAAAATAACTGGTTTTTGTCCAAATAATAGCTTCAGTTTTAAGTTAATGGTTGAAAAAGAGACTGAGAGAGGCAAAGCTTTCCAGAAAGGAACATTTTTACTTTGTATCTTCGTGCTTGGAGGCCTTTAGCTTGCATGAAAGTTCACGTGAGCAGTCATAGAAGTGAAGAAAGCTAGTGGACTTGGAACAAGATTACAAGACACACTTCCTAAGCGGTTTTGAGAACTGACTTGTACTTCTTGAATACAGGCTAACTACTTCTTGCAGAATGGAAACAATAACTGTTTCATCACTAAACCCCTGCCTGATAAACTAGGTGATACCAGCGAGGTCTCTTCAATGAGCAAACTTACCTGCTGATAGGACAAAAAAAAACATAGTCACTGACCAGTTCTGACCTTTATGATGTAAGGATCTTATGCTGAGTATGCTACTCAGTAGACTGGAGTAGAGTGGATAATCCTGTACCATATACCATACCTTTAGCCATTCTTCAGCCACAAGATCTAGTTTGATGGAACTTGACATTGAAGACCAAATCAAGAAAAAAAAGCCTCAGCTTTCAAGAACTGGTGTTGAGATATTCATTCAGCATGCTAAGTTCTGTATAGCATTTTAAGCACTCCTTCCCCTAGATGCATCTAGATCTGTTGATAAATTCCTTATAAGTACAATTCCATAATGTCACTAAATTAAGATGGTCAATAAAGTACCTAGCATTTACAATAAATCATAATTAATCCATTGTTTAGTGACATCAGCTACAATTTGGTCGTAACAGAAAATCTTTTATAGAAAAAAAAAAAACAAAATTAAACACAAGTAACGAGGAAATTATGTCCTTAATTCAGTTTTCATTGCTTTGTATTCATCTTAAAGTGAGGAAAAAAGCATTGGTTGTACCAACACCACTGTAAACCATACATGCAAATAAATGATTCCATGCACTAGGCATGAAATCCTATACCTAATGAAATCAGCCGTGATACTTCCATTTCATTCAGTGAAGCCAGGTAATAATACAAGTAGTACACAAAATTGTAGGGACACCACTGTACCAGAGGGACTGCCTCCTAATTTTAACTGTTCCAATTCATACCAAGTGAGAATCTGGTACTCACTACAAAGTTTCACTTCAGATTTGAGAATGATTACTCCTCTGCAGTGTTAGAATATAAATACTCCCTATTTTAATGGACTGATACAGAAAGTAATTGGTTTAGGAGATAGAAATAAAGAACAATAAATGCAGCTCACCAGTATCCCAAGTGCTGATATTGTGGGGAGCACTAGACTGGTGTTCCAGCTGTCTCTTCATTAGCTGGTTCATTGTCAGAGCTCCCAAAGAGCCTCTTTTCATTTGTCTGAACTGAGCTGCAAGTTAGAAATGCAAAAGGATTTCAGGGGCTCAGACAGCATGTAAAACTACTTTTAGTTCCTTGTCCTACAAGCCAGCATGAGATAAATGCTGAAAGGACAATGACTGCTTGCTTTAAGAATCTTCCTCATGTCAATGTGCACTTTTCACACTACTACACAGAGCACAATTCTGGCCCCAATGACATCAGTCATTAGTGACTTGGATTCAGGATATCATCTATGACGTCAACTGTCAGTGCCCTTTTGCCTCCAAATATTATGAAAGCTCTTCAAAACATGTGGTATGTGTAAAATGTAAGATACTACCACAAAATCCCCATGCTGATAGATGATAAGTGTATACTTGAATCTCACTCACATACCATGTACCAAGTAAGGAAACTCAGTCTTCTCACAGCAAAGTATGGAGGACTGCTCTGTCCATGTTCACCACAGGAAATCAAATTCACTAACTAACACCAGCCCCTTTCACAGGTGACCCTAGCTGAACAGGCCTCCCAAATGCCCACCACTCAGGCACAACAGTGGCATGCTCTTCTGAAGTGTGAAGCCAGCATGCCTTTGAAGATGGGTCTCTTTGTAACTTCATTGACATTCCTCTTACACGGAACTGTCAATTTTCCCTTACAGAATTGTTTACAATACTTTTTTAAATGGATATTACTGTTTGCTTTAAGAGATATGCCTGACCAGATAATGCTCACACAGACAAAAAAAAAAAAAAAAAAAAAAAAACCACAAACAATTGTGGGTTTAAAACTTAAGACTTTTTTGACAATGTCTTTTCTCATTGCTTACATGGAGGAAGAAACAGATCATATACATTCTTACTTTCTTCTCCATTCATAAGAAAATTCAAATTGAAAAACGTAATACATTTGCATTGATGGTTGAGTCTGAGCAATGTATTTCCACCACTGAAACCAAAATCATTTTTCACTGTATGCTTCAACAAGGCATGTGAGATTGCTGACATGCATCTCCTTGCAGGAAAACTTTTAAAATGTTGCCTTATCTACATGTTTAAGTGCTTCCCTAAACAGGGCCTTAAAGCAGGGGCAACAACACTAAATCTTCTCCTAATGATTATTCTCATTTGTGACTACATTCAACATTGTTAAAGAGTATTAACATAGTATCAGGGAGTTCCATCCTAAAATTTCAGCCAGTACCCAGATAAGCTCTGGAAATAAATGCAGCACTTCACGTTATGAACTGTGATGAAGAAGTACAGACACAGGATAAACTACAGCTTTCAGAAAGCTCTGGGGGCTTGAGTGCCTTCTCCTAAACTTGTTCTACTCAGTTTTTATGTAAGAGTTTCAAATTCAGAGAAAACAAATACAGGCCCTAAGTAATAATAAACACAATGATAACTTCAGTGGGATCTGCACATTGAAATTATTTTATTAGGTGAAGTATTTTAAGTTTTCCCTCATTATATCCCTTCAATGTATCAGAGTGCATCTAAACTCTATTTTTGGTCCAAGCACAAACTTCTCCAGTACTGCTGCAAAGCAGTCCTAGTATAACTGAACTTCTGGAACTGAACAAGACCAAGAAACCATTCCATATTTCACTTTTCAAAGTTATATTGCAGCTGCCTGTCACAGCAAATTAGGAGAAAATAGAATTTCCATAGTGTCCAGGGCAAGGATTTTAAATAGATGCTTTATCTCTTTATCAAGCATAGAATTTCCTGATGAAAGAACAGCAATTAATGTTAGAACTGACAAGACTGCTTGGAGTGCAGATGACTGTCAAAATATAGAAAATGATCTCTTTGAATTTTCTTAACAGCTTTTGTGATTGCAATTAAAAAAAAAAAAAATTCATGCATATTTCACATAGTTAGGCTATTATTAAGCAGGTTTGGATTTCCAGGGTTATTTACCTGATACCTCAAGGACAGCCATGATTTCAAATACTGATGTCAAGAAAACAAAAATGTCTAAAAACCAAAAACCTTGAGAGCTGCCAGCTTTTGAACAGTGATGGAACCAGACTAATTCCTTGTGGACCAGTATGTGACTATTCATGCTGATGACCAACTAGTGGCATACGTAGGGAAGTTTTCCTTGACCAGGTTTTCTAAAAGAAAGCTATCATAGAGAAGATCAGTAACCTTCATACAGTAGCTGGTGAGTCTTTCATAGGTTAGCTAGTGATCTAGTCAATCCTCCCTCCATTGCTGTGAAATTCTCTACTTGAGAACAGAAGTCCAAAGACAAAATCTTCCTGTCACAGTTAATGATTTATGCTTTCTGTGGCCAGGCATAGTGTACAAGTAATGTTATCTATTTGCACTGCAGAGGTGCCTCACGCTCACTGTCCTGATCAGGGGTTATTATGCAAAACACTGTAAAGACATGTAATAGAAGGTCAAAAATATTTCAGGTCTACATGGAGAAGAAACACAATGAAAGCACTCACATCCCTCTTGCAGCTGCAAACTAAGGCACACAGAAAGAAGAAAGCAGTATTTACAAAGGAATGTAGGCTCAATATCATATAGATACTATTCCTGATTTCGTATATTGGAATTTACAGGAATATCTATCACTCAGTGAAACCAGAGAGATAGAGGTCTTAACTAGCATTTGTTTAGCTGCTTTTTAGTTGCACAAACCATTCTTGATTTTGCTAGCGTCCTAAGATCCCCCCACCTTCCAACATTATCTACATCTGCTCTGTTAGGCCACGTGTCAATGTCTAATTAACCCAATCCAGTTCACTTTGCACTGAAATGGGTATGGAATTCTCAGATAAATAGTTACCACATTTCAGCAAGCAGCTGAGGAAGTGGCATTTCAAGGTATCTCACAAAAATTGCAAGAGATTGTTTTTCCTAAGGTACAAGAAATGTACTGGAGACCACAGTAATAGCCCTGCGGTGCTCTCATCCTCCGCTTCTGTGCGCTGACAGCTGACAATGCTTTCTCTCACTGGAAAATAAACATTCAGGTTTAGTGAAATACTGTCTTTAGCTGCTACCTACTCTAAATCAAGAAAACCACGTGTCAAATTTGCCAGGTCACAACAGAAAATCCTGCAGTCACTAACTGCTAAAATCCTGCTGACCAACAGAGATTTAACAGATCTAATGACAGCCAACACAGCTGTACTTCCAAGAATCAGTGAAACTCAGGGAAGGCATTTACTATACATTATGTGTCTGACACACAAATAGAGTAACTTGGATTTAATTCTCAAATCAGAGGTAAACTTACTTGATATGGAAGAGTGACTACTTGTCTCTGGGACACCTGCTTCAAGGGTCGGTGCAGACGATGACTCTCTTGGCATTTCTAGTGTTGAAAGTCCTTTGGCAGCAGGATCTGCACGTGAAAATTATGCTTAAATGCTCAGTATTTAGAAGCAAGAAATATTCTCCCTGAGTGGCTTTTTCACATCTTTTCAGCCATCCATTCATCATCTGGCATTCCCAGCAGTTTTAATAGGATTCAGTGTGTGTGTGTCGTAAGAACTTTTATGGAAGCACAGAAATCTACTGCTTAAAATCACTTTTTAAAGGAGATTTTCACCTATGCTCTTTAGAGCTCAGAACTAATAACTGCACATAGAGTTTGATTTTGATCCCACTCACAGAGTGATTAGAACCACCAATATGGAAATAAGGGAGGCACCACTGATGTAAAGTTAGTTTAAATGACAGCTTAGTATCTTTTAAAAGCCTGACCATCCACGCAGAAGAGAATCAGCATAGTACGGACTAGATTAGCAGGATTAAAGGCACAGAACTATGACAATTTTTCTGACGGCTCATATAAAGAGGCCATGGAGCTTCACTCCCTTACTTGGATATCAGAAGTAAAAATTTTGTCAATGAGCTCCACTTTCCTTTTCAAATGGGCCCTCACACATGCACGATACCTGTATGGTTAGTACAGGTCTTCTGAGAAACAAACACTTGAAAGCATTCAGCGAGCTCAGACGGCATCAGCTGCTATATATACACATCTCTCCCTACACTTACAGACACCTCTCCTTATACTGGTCTGTTAGTAAAACCTTCCTGCAGTAATAAGCCACCTGACTGGGTCAGCCATTGAGCTCACCTGCCTCCTTCTGCTCTCCCAGCTTGTCAAGGATGTTAAAGGAAATGTCCAGGTATTCTCTCTGAATAGCACTCACAGCAATCTTCCTCTGCTTCCTCTGGCGAGGAACAATTTGAATCTTAAATTCTGACTCCTCAGTCTCCTCTTCTTGTTTCTGCTCCATGTTTTGCTCATTGTCAGATTCTGTGTTGGTGTCAAGTCTACTACTTTCTGTTTGGTTTTCAGAATCTTCAGGGACTTTAATGAGGACTGTCTTTACATTTGGGCTTGGAATTGCTCCACTAGGTTTAATTTCCTCCATGCTGAGCTCAGAGTTATCATCAAGGGACATTTCTGGAAGGGCAAATGACTTCTGCAGCAGGTCCCTTTTCTGTTTCAGTGTTAGTGGGTTCCCACTGGACATGTCCTGAAGTCCTTCTGGCTTAACTGACTCTGAAGAGTTGTTTTGATCTTTGGGAGAGGTAGAAAGGAACTCCTCTATTCCTGCTGAAGCACTGTTGCTTGTATCCTTAGAACTAAAGTCTTTGGAGCAATCTTCAATGCTGAACTGGACGAGCGGAGTTGTGCTGAGGCTGAGTGCAGAGACATTGATAGGGCTTGAGGGAGATGATGCAGCAGTTTTGCCAGAGACCCCAGCATTCAGCTGGTTTGTTGTTTCTTCTTCTTCATCGCTCTCCACTATTCTAAGGGGCGGAAGTGGCTCAAAGACTAAAGAGTCACTGTCTGAAGTGGAGAGTACCGAATGCTTTTCAGGACCCGATGTTGAGTCAGAGGACAAATCTATCAGATCTAAATCTTCCTTAGGACCAGCAGGTTTCACTGGAGAGTCCACTTTCACTTCATACGTTTCCATGCAGTTTAGCCTAACTTCTGGTATGACAGGTCTTCTTGTTTCCTGGAAACTCTCTGTACGAGGAAGATGTTCTTGCGCCTCTACATGCTCAGCTTTAGTAGAAGAGTTCTGCCGCGAGCGCCCATAGTCGCTCTGCCTGTGCGTGGCATGGGCGGCAGGGACAGGAGGTCTGTCCAAGTCACAGCGGTCTATGCAGGACTTCCTGCGGTGCTCATCTAAGGCAAACAACAGGGAGTCTGCATTCCCTATATCAAGAGATTTTTGTTTTAGAGAGCGCAGTTTTTTTTTCTGAATGCTTTCTTCTCTCACACAGCGCAGAATGCTGTCTTGTAAGGCCCCCGTCTCTCTATATTCAGCCAGCTCTATTTCACCTGATTAAAACAGAGAGAGCTAATACTACCTCAGTTGGAGACTTCTGGCAGATATCTTCATCTTTAGATCACGGTTCAATGTGACTGGCATTTCAAATACAAACCCAGCATTAGTTAAAATTGTCTAGATTTTGTTTTAACTTCAGAGCCACATTACATAGATTTTTACAACCAACAACAACAAAAAAAAACTCTACTGTTGGGATGATAGGTTTTATCTGAATTCTATCCAAATTCAACTCATCCTGGACAGATCCACCCTGAAGATCAACCTTTAACCTTAGACATTGAAAAGAAGATGGCATAAGGAAGTAATTTATATAGACACTTGGGAGGACTGCATTGGGCATGAGAGATGACAGAAGAAATGATCTACACAGACCCCTCTGAAAAGGTTTCAAAATTATTTTGGACTATAGCATCGTGATCATCATTTGGACATCAGCAGATATTGGAGTACACCTACACCTTATTTACTGCAACAAAGTGAGCTTAAAATGGGTGCTTCTAATTTGAGAAACAAGGGTAGCAGTAGCAGTGGGAATGTGGCAGCACAAGTCTGAGATCAGACAGGTGTTGAGAGAATTTTTCCCCCAGTGATCCTAGACCCCAGCAGAGTCTAGAAACTACCACACTATATAGTCATAGCTCCCTGTCCTAGGGAGGAGTAAAAGTGAACAGTTATATCTGCTGATACAACTACTGCACTGGTATTTTGCTATGGGAACCCATTCACTGAAAACATCCTGAAAGCTTATCACTGTTGTTATTATGAATAACATATTTCCACATAAATCAGAATATTTGTGATAATTATTATCACCATATTTCAAAATGCTCCATGTATGAACCACCACACAAAAAAAAAAAAAAATTGAGAAAAGTTAAAGTAGATATTTGCTCGAGTCAGAATCATTCCCCTCCCGTGCAAACACCTAAAAGAAAAAAAGGCGTGTGGGTAGTGGCAGAAATCTCTTTAATTTTGGGGGCATATTCATTTTAGAAACCTAAATTTGTAAACAAAATCCTTCTTATTTTTTGAAACCAAAAGAGGACCCTTTTTACCAGTGGAAAACTGTAATATCTACAGCAGTGACAACAAGTTTGCTTAGCCTAAAGTCCAACTTCATTTAAAAAAAAAAAAAAAAAAAATCAATTCCTGGGAAAAAATAAATTTTAGCATAAATCTTCAGCCCAATAGTGGAAAAAAATAGCAGCAAATCCTCTTAAACATTTTTACATTCAAATGAGCTTAAAGTTTCAGAAAATAACTGCTGATTTTAGGTATTTTTCTTCTGAAGTGCCTACTTTAAGATTCCTGTAAGAGAATTCATTCAGAGAAATAAGGAGTACCTGCTCTCAAAAGTCAGACAGAATACTTGTATTCAAATTACCCACTGTAACAATCTCTACAAAGAAAGGTGGTCGCTTGAAACTAAGAGTAGGAAATTGTATTTTTGCATGAGTTTATACCAACAAAACAATTCATACTTCTCTGAGCATTCATCTCAACTGGTTGATATTTCACCATTTTGCTGCCACCAATTCTTTTCAGCCTTGCAAAGAAAGTTTGAGATTCTTTATTACAAGGTCCAGTTGGTGTATCATGAATATCAGATTCATCAAAAACACTATCTTCCTCTGCTGGAGAAAGAGAAAAAACTTTATTAGTCTTAAGAGAGTGCAATTCCTTGAATGAAAAGCTGTCTATGTAACAAAACCTCAGCTAGTTTCAATTAAACTTGAAGTTGAAAATGAAGAATCATCTGAAACTTGCAAGAAAATTTATATCCCAGGTATAACTTTACCATTCTTGTCACATCTTGAATTAAGGTCAGAAAGGAGAGAGATAAACGAAAAAAAAATGGGTTACAATGCAACAAAAGTATATCCAGCTTTTACTATTCTAAGCTGTTCTTTTCTACAGGTAATAATGCAGATTCTTTAGATGGAAGCAATGCAATAGATCTGAAGTTCTACAATGCTCAGTGAAAAATGCTAAATGGAAGAAGACTGAAATTAGTACAAAACCTGAAAGATCAGTAATAAACCAGCAAAACAGGGGAGTGAAGAAGGAAGAAATAGATAATCTTTGGAAGCTGGCAGCAATAAAAGCACACTAAGAGTACCTAAGAGTATGAATTATGAAATTATTCATCTAAGTAGCAACAGCAAAACATAATGCTCTAGATTAAGAGCTACTGGTTGAAAATGGCAGAGAGAAAGAAATATCCCAATGTCTTTATCCATCAAAAAATAACCACATCAACCTGCATGAAATGGCCATAAAAAAAATAAACAAAGGAAAAATCCGTATCTGTCATGTCTAGTGATTCATCTCCAAGGAGATAAGAAACACTACCGGGACGATAAAGAAACCAGAGCACTCAAGAGATGAAGTAGAAAAGCTTGCCCTGTTTATTCTAGTATGGAAACATGGAGAGGAAATGCATTTGGTATCTAGGAATGAAGAGGTAAATATGGCAAAGAGTTAGAATAGCCAAAAACTGAAGATTTAAACTGGACATTCATATCTTCAGCTTTGAAATTGCTGGAAAGTTTCTATTACACATGAAACTACAGACCTGCCACTTAAAAGCATCAGGAAGATCCTAATTGATATGATGGATCCAGAAAAAACTCGTTCAAAGCTGATAGTAAGAATTTCTGCAGGGACTGGGTTTAATAAGTTAGGAAATCACTTTTAACATCATGTCCTATGTACCTAACTTCTTCCCCTTGGTAACAAATGCGTCTTCTCAAAAGATTATATCATCAACTCTACAACAGTCTGTACACTTGCCATGATCCCCACAATCAACTGTGGCAGAAAAGTTAGGAAAAAAGCTTCAGTAATGGCAAAAAACATTTTTAGCATAGGGATTCTTGCTGCACAATAATGAAATCCTCATCTGCAGATCATCTAAACACCGCCTTTGATGATGACAGCAGCACATACACTATCTGAGAAAAGATTAAACAAGCCTCTTTAGAAAAAGTGGGAAAGGCTTCAACTTTCCAAGTCCCTGTGGAATTATATTGGCTGCTTCTTGCAGGTGGAAGAAAACTTTTCTACTATCTCTTCTTTCTGCAGCACTTCAGCAAAGGAGAAACAACCCTACAATTAAATCAGCATTTACACATTAAAATTTGTCCATTTATGGTCCTTTACCTCTGAGCAGCCCCAAGCCCTTCACAACAGCTTTAGAAAACAAGTAAATATTATTCCTCTTACTTTAAACACAGGGAAATAATGATGAAGGGAGACAAGGCCACCCAGGGAACCAACACTGGACATGAGACTGGAACTCCAGGTTTTCTAAACCTAACTTGGCATTTACTGTGAATAGCAAGCTAGGTACTTAGGCACCTTGCTTTATGTTAGAAATGTCTCAGTATCAATCCAGCAACTGAATACATTACAAATGTATTACTACTACCCTCAGCATTATTGAGTCATTATTAATTAAGTCAAATTAATTAAGGCATTAACAAAGACAAATTCATAATACATCCACAGTTATCTGAACCTTCTTAGCCCTCCTCTAGCAATACAAAATGTCCAAAGTGAGTGAGAATATAACGAATGCAATACAATATTTATATCCATTTTAAGTTTGCTTTAATTTGCTAGAGTTGAATAATAGAGCGTTCAGGTAAAATCTGGTGTCGTCATTCTGCTGGATGTCTTTTCATGAGCAACAAGCAACAAAAAAGGAAAAGGTACCACCATGTACAAAAAGAGTGCTGCCTGTATTCTTTGGAAGAAAAGTTTGCTGCATAGAGGGAAGACTGTTTGAGAAGGAGGATGCAGGCAGCAAACAAGCAGCTAAAAGGCAAGAACGTGTTCAACATTGTCCATAAATACTTGTCATATAATAAACTTCACAACTGTAAGAAATTCAGTGACACCATGTTATTTCAAGTCCCAGTCTCACACCAGTTCACACCACCACAGCACCTCTGCTACAGCTAGCAAGCACATACAGAGTTAACAATCTCAGGACTGAACCATTAATGCTCTTCCACCTTTAAACATCCTCATCACATACCTTGTCATGTAAACTAGTCAACTTCAGCTCCTTTTACAGAGAAAAGCAAACTCTAGGCTAATTTAATTGTTTTTTCTACATTAAATATTTGCTACTATGCCATGTTATTATACAGTATAAACAGAACACAGTGTGAGGCTGGTTGCACACTTTGTATGTGGGCACGATCAGCTAATATTGTCGCAGAAAAGGCCAAAGACTATCCAGGTATGGTGACTGAACTAATAAGTTTAAGATTCACTCCCTCCAAGAGATGTTAGACTGCTGTGCTATGCTTACCCTACAGAGAAATTGTGTATTTCTTTTACTACAGATGACTACAGCTAGTCAGGTAAGTCACACCTTGGACTCAGTTCTGAGCATTATGTTCTAAAATTCAGACCATATTTATCCAGTTCTACAACATCTGCAAGATTTAATGATAGTCATTGATTTAAATAATCTAAATGAGAGTGTTAAAAATACCTTTTTCCTTTTCACTGTATCGGCTTATGTTACTGTTGTCACTATACAAAGGACCAGCAGTTGCATGGGGCTTGCAGCTGTGATACTGAGCGTTGAGGGTATTGACTGTGATGTGGATTAGGTGAAGTACAATCTTGCTGATTTCACAGTCTCTGTAGGGGTACTGTGCAGTGAAAGAGAAAAAAGTTCAGCTTAAAAAATAACTCTTCTCCTTGGATAAACATTTAGGCAGTAAAACAGAAAAATGTCAAGAATATTGTCAGCTGGATGCCCCTTGCCTTCCTTTGATGATACATTTCTAAATACATCATGAAAAGCAGGACTGTTTTCAGCTTTGTACACAGATTTTTTTAAAAAAATTAAAGAAATCCCTATTAGTAACATTTAATATATTGTTTTCTTGACTTCTGTATGACAAAACCAACTATTAATAAGAATACAGTCATCAGAACTCTTCTCCAAATACTCTATTTCAATCAGCACCACATTGTCATTCATTTCTAGTGTCTTCACTTCCTTGTATGACCTACAGAACTGCTAGAAATCTGTTAAGCATATCAAAAGTATTCACAGCTCCATTTTAGTGCATAAACATGTTACATTTCAACAACACTTCCTAAAAAGCATCACTCAGCTATAGAATACATGCTGTTTAACTGACTTTCCCCATTTAAAGTAACTCATTTAAATCCTAAAATTATTTAAAACATTCTAAGTTACTTCAATGCTCTTCATTGGAACCTTGTATAGTTTTTTTTCCTATTTTCAAATCCATATTTTCCTTTCTCAGTTAACTATGTGAAAGACAATACAGACAACAGACATAATAGGTCAGTGGCACAGATGAAAGCCTAACTACTTCAGACACTGAAATTAACTGCAGCAAGTAGGCAAATCTTTTATCTGTAATAAGTTTCAAGTCGAGGTGTCAATTGTAATGTTGACAGCATCTTCTTAAGACCACTCACCTTATAGAGAATGACAAGCAAAGCTTTTAACCACATCTGCCGAATGTGAGGCTTGAGGGACCAGAGGGAGCAGCGAGGAGGCTGCTGAAAGTAATGCCTGAGCTGAGGACAGGTGCAATATTTCAACACCTGAACCACCAAGGGAAGAAGGTGTTTTCCCAGGTTGATGTTATAGTCCATTACCTCAAAAGAATATCAGCACAGGAGTTAGCTCACCACAATCAAACCCACTGATGCTGAAAAACAATATAACTAATACAATTGAGGTATTAGTTAAGTAAAAAGAAACAGACATTTTTAAAGGAAGTATCACAGTCATTTAGAAACCTTCTGCCAGCTTGCTATGTTCTCATTTTAGCTGGATAGGTAAAATGAAACAAAAGAGGTGTTCTGAAAGCCTTTAACCCTGCACAGTCTGAATTTCAACACACAATGGTAAGTTTATAAAAATATCATGTTAGGATAGCCTTGTACGTATAGCACAAGGTGATCACGCTTCAAACACAGAACCCACATTTAACAGGATGCAGCTGTAGGTTTTGAGAGGGGGGATGTTGTATTTTAGTTATTTGGGTGGTCATAATAACACTGCATTGCCACTTTTCATTATTTTCTCATCAGGCTTGCAACTTTGGCTGTTAAGGTGAAGCCCCATGTTCTGCAATCAAGTAATGAGACAAGAATCCCACTCTTCACTATAGCAAAGGTAAGACCATGTCTGCAACGTTACACAGAAATTCTAAGAATGCAAATCCTGAAGGATCCAAGAATATAGCTAATGAAAAATACTTTGCTCTAAATACAATGCTCATCAATTTTAAGTGCTGATGTCGCAGTAGACAGGTTGCTGTTATTAGTGCTAGTCGTAAGACTTGCCTCCATCATGGCCTCTGAAGAGCATCATAGCATCTGGAGCCCGTCTTAAAGGTTTGAATCCTGATGGTTAGGTGCACTGTGGCCATATATTTCCACTACTCTGATAAAACTGTGGTTTTGATTGAAACTGCATTGATATTTTTCATTCTCTTCCCATCACTTTTGCAACATTAGCTATTTTTATTTAAAATCACATGTCCTGAATCAGCAGCTAAAGTAGATAACAACAATGATCCACAAAGCCCTTGTCTCTGATGCTACCCTAAACTGGTTGACTCCCAGGAGGGTATAACAGCTGGCCAAGACCTTGGCCAACACACATCTTTGCAGTTTCAGTGGACTTAGTGCACTTTATCAGGAGCCCTGCACATCTAAACAGACACAAACATCCATTACATCCACATCACTCATTTCCTTCAGGTCTGTTTTTCTTTTTTGGTTTTGTTTTTATTAGAATAAGGGCCTGAGTCTAATTTAGAAACACAGAACTCATCCCTCAAGCTCCCTCCTGAACAAGCTGACTAGAAGTTTCCCCTGTAAAATTCTCCAGTTAGATGAGCAGCTGTCTCAAATTTTGTGCTGCACGCACAGTCCTAAACAGATGAATCCCACGTCTATCCATGTAGGGTTAGCCTGTCCAATAGATGATACATAATCACCAAATATGGACCTGCCATGCAACGCCTTGGCCCCTCAGGGTGGGGTGCAATTACATAGCATGGTTAGGAAAAAACGTCATCCATACAAGGCAGTCAGAGCCTGGTCTTAACACAGCACATATTGTAATGCAGGCATGCCTTAAGCTGAGCAGGCCCTTTTTTAAGTTGTAACAGGAAGATCTGGAATATGTGATGTTGCAAATGCTGAGCAGAGCCCAGCCTGGGATGCTGAGCAGAGCCCAGCCCTGGTAGCTTCCCCACTCTGACAGGCTTGTACAACATTGCCACCATGTGGGGCAACACTGCAGTGACTGCAAGCACTAAAGCCTGGGCACTTCTGCTGCTATCAAGAGAAAAAGGCACTTTATGCTTTCAATAATTTGAAATACTCAGATTTTACGATGCAAAATGCTAAGAGACTTGATTATTTTTTCTTGAACTGAGCATTCCAACCAAGCTTGGAATCAAAATCAACAAACCAGCAAGTCAGCACAAGCCCAATCTTTGTGGAGCTGATTGGGGAAGGCAAATATTTATGACTAGGGAAGGAAGTGTAACTGGAATAGATCTCTTAAGAGCTCCATGCTGAGTTTTCACTCTGTAAATGCATCTTTGGATTGCAAGAAGCATCTCTTGCAGTAAAGGTGATTCCCAAAAAAATGCAGTCCTACAGCCAAGAAAAAAAAAAAATCCTCCTCAAAATATGAAGTTTTTATGTCTGTCACATGGAGGAAAATCCTGGCCTACTTAAGCTTGGAAACTCCGCTTGGCATCAGGGGAGCCAGGATTCAACCATGAAGCTTTTCAAACATAAATGGCAAATTCAGCTATCATGAGACATTTTAAAAAAGAAAAGGAAAGGCAGGGGGCTGATATTTAGAGCTGCATTAAGTAGTACTTCTGCAAATTGGCTCAATTACGGGAATCCAAACTTGGGAGGCACACAGAAGAATGTGGAAGATACTGTCCTGTGATCTAAGCTGCCACTTACAGACTCTCAACATAACAGTAATAGGCCTGAATCTCCTTTCACATGCTTCAGCTTAGAAGTTGTACAAATGAAAACTAATTAACACAAGACTATGTGCTCCAAGACAGTGGATCAGCATGTGTTTGCAACTACCCACCTGGCATTAGAATGTTCTATTTTGCCTGCTGAACTACAGATACCTGAATCCCTGTGACTGTGGAAGTTTATCCAAGTGTCTACATTACGACTGACCTCGAATCACTTATTGCAATGTATGAACCAGAAAATCCTGGTAAGTATTCAGATACAGAAGAGGTCAGGATAGCTCTGAGCAGTTTTTGAGGGTTATAGCAGGCATTTTAAGAGCTGGGGCAGGGGGAGATCTGAAATCACAGTCCTCTCTCTCCCCCAGGGTAATCCTTCACAAGGGACTGGGTTGAGGAAAAAGTGTGGAAGTGATGATGATGTTTCATTGCAAGTAAGAATACTCTGCAAGTGTGAAACGTTTTTCAGCCTCGCATCACCAGCTTAGCTCTTACTAAGAACTAGCTGAACCTTAGAAGAGCTTTGTGAGGGAGGAAATTACAGTCCTCCTTACAAGATGGAAAAAAAAAGGCACAAGGCAAGGATGTACTCAGTCATTTATCACAGAATATAGGCCTAAGTTCATCCTAGTAGCACCACTCCCTAGGAAAAGGGGAATAAAAAGTCCTGTTACACTCTAAGGAAGAAGGAAAATGAATCTCCTGAACAATGTTGAAGAGTTTACAGACCATTCACGCAGGGAAACAAGCAAGAGCCCATGGGTCCCAGGTCTTCCTGAATGGGAAAGGAGGAAATGATATGTAAGGCACTCAAAGGCTTAAGACAGAGGGCAAAGAGTTTTGGAGCAGGCTCAAATTTTTCATGCAGAAGTAGTATTTGCATGCCTCTATGCACCCAGAACCATTCCCCTATGCCAGTGATGCAGCACGTTTCGTGTACTAGCAAGAAGTTACAAACTAGCATACCTCTATCTATGTACTTTTTAACTACAAAGCGAAAACCTATAGAAGACACTTGGTGAGGCTACCGGGAGTCTTCTGAAAATAAAGAACAAGCAGCCATCCTTGTTCTCAAATTCTTTCATCAACTGAAGAGATGTTAAAGAGTTTTAAGTAAGATTACCACGCTTGGTCGTTATTTTGGTACAAAAAAGGCTGCGCTACTGCCACCTCAACAACAGGCCATGAGAAACAGCTGCAAAAAAGTAGTAAGTGTCTGCACCTACTTGTGGTATTCCAGCAATAAAGGCATTAAAGCAGGTTGAAACACGCATTTTTTGTGGTGCAATCATGAAGCATCCCTCCTGCTGGTCATAGCCGAGCAGGACGTAGAGGTGGCGCTTGACTGTGTTGAAGGCCTTAGCGCTGCTGATGTCTGACTCTGCGCTGCTCTCGTCCTTCGCCATGAACTTCATCAGCACTGTGATGAGCTGGTGGACAGTCTGGTGATCGATGCCAGCGTCCTCCGGCAGCAGGTCTTTTATTGTATTATCATTCTCTGGGGAGGGCTGTCCTATTGGCACAAGAGAGACACTGCTGTCAGACACCGGATAAGACAGCGGCAGAGTAAGAATGAGAACGGGTTGCAGAACACACCAGAATTTTCCAGAGTTCATTGCTCCATTTCTGCCCAACAACACACGGTGAAATCACAGGAGATAGGGCTGCATTTCTGAGGGCATTGTTCCTCTGCTGCCTCAGGATCAACAGCACAGTAACACTTACTGTGTGCACTGAACTCTATTTCTCAGCTTTCCAATGTTTAACGGGGCTGCTTATCTTCCCACCCCAGTTCATTCCTGCCAAATAGAGTGTTACTATTCCTTCACATCTATGCACTAAAGGAGAATCAAATTTCACTGCCATCCAAGCCTCATCTGGCATAGTTTTCAGTCCTTCTTCAGCAAACACCAGTGGAGGACGTACAAAACGGCAAAGGTAGGAGGTGGTGGAAACTCTACCAAATAATGATTAAACAAAGAATGAAGACTTCCCCTTTTAGCGTCTAGTCCATACTTCTCTCAAATAACTTGGGCCAAAACATAGACACTGTAATTTATAAGGTTTTGGGATGCTATGCATTATATCAAAACTTAATGACCTTTTACCCAAAGAAGTCTACGACTTGGCTTATAAACACTGAATGAAAACAATCCATCAGTAAAATTTTGCATTGGAGTATGACCATGTGAAAGACAGGAGACTGCTTAGAAAATGCAAAGAAGCTTGGGTGCTGGCTGTCACTATGCAAGCAAAACAGACACACTACAAATAACAGTTGCCCACTTGGCAAGTATTTTCATACTTCAATCTTTTTCTTATTTTTTTTTTAATACAGTATTTCCTATTACTTTCAAGACCATTTATCATTACTAGAATTCTCTAGGAATTGCCTTTGGAGTTACCAGCTTCCATTGCAGCATATGTGTAAGGCCTTTTTTTGGTGCCTAGAAGTTCCTAAAGACCTATGTCATACTAACACAAGGAATAGGATTCATGAAAAGCAGAAGCGATTTCACACATCAGTACATCAGATTTCTTTTTTATTAAATATATCAGATTTTTTTAATTAAATAACTGTGAATAAATGCAGAGCTCCAGCACAGTAAAGCATATCATTCCAACATGTTCTGTTTTAAAACAGTAACTTAAGTGCTTAAAAAAAAATATTTCCACTAGGATAAATCAACAGAACAGAAAATATTCTTTTCACAGCATCAAAATGAGGTGACACTTGAAAATCAAGTTTTTATTACACTATTGATTTTACTTTGTTCATTAAAAACTGTAACTGTTAACAATTAAAACTAATTGCTATTAAAATGTATTCTGATGTTTTTGTTGATCCATGGTTAAAAATCTGTCTAACAGCAAATAATTGAGATAAAGCAACTGGTATGAATCAAAACTATAAAATGTTCTACTTGTTTTCATTTCAAGGATAAATCCTTTGAAATCTTGAACAAAGTCCTCCTTACTTTTGCAAGAACAGTTTAAGTTGAAGTTTACAGGACAGACCCTATAAGCAAGATTAGCTCAAAGTGTATCTTAAAATTGCTCTTACACTTCTGTGTTATAGTTACTAGCCAACAACTTAATACTCAGTATTTTAGAGATACTTACATGCCTTAAGCTTTATGTAAATTCACAGCTACACAGCAAATGCTAAAAAATAATTTTAATATTCTAATTTGCCCATATTCTCAATGTAATATGTTATTCTAACAAGGGACTCCCTTGCTGGTACAGCAGCATCTGTCTTAGGTTCTTCGCTAGCAAAACTTACACTTTATTGGTGGGTGAGCAAAGGAATTTCTTTGATTGTCTGTTTTGCTGAGCATGGGATAAGGTTGATATTTCTGTGATAGGTGAAAATGAAAAGTAGGGGGCAGAATTTTCAGAATCACTTCTATTAAGAGAAACCTTCCTCCACTGGTCTCATTTTGGTAAAAAGAAACAAGGAATTTCATATTACATAATGGTTTATATTCCAAACAACTTTCACTGGGAAAAAAAATGTTTATTTACAGATGCTTTCCTTCAAAATGAAAATTCTCTACCCAAACTTTTGATGAACCAAGATTTGCAGATGCAAAAAGAAAGCAATAAATTCTGAAATAATCAGAATCGGAAGTACAGCAAGTGCCACTTTCAGAAGCACATTAAAAACGTATAGAGAAAATAACTTTACCTTTGTTGACATCAACTGATAAATATCTTACTAGATATTATACCCAGGTTAAAATTTTCCATGAATTTGTATCAAAAATACACCATTTCCATAAAGATGATATTAGACTCTTCTTTAGTCCTACTTATTTTCATCTCTACTACATGTTGTGAGATTTTCAGTAAAACAAAGGAGGAGATAAGATTAAATGAGTCAAAGATCAGGGCGGGAGGAGGGTAAGGTGGAGGGCTCTAAGTAAAACCTTGTTCTCCAAATAGAACTCAATGAGTAATTAATCTGAAAAGATTAACCTATTTTACTTTCACTTGCTGAAAAATCTAATTTAGAAGCTTAATGATAAAATGCTCAATTTTGCCTGTATTTTGCAATACTAACACTATATTAACAGACACTTTCCAGGACTTTTCCTGATATTTTACTTCCCAGAAATATTACTACACTTTCTAAAGCATTAAAATCTAATTTCTCATCCTTCACCCTGTAAGGAGAATGCAGTTAATGACAAAGTCTGAGTCACCAAGTACACCCTGCAGCTGTATGCCTGGAAGCCCTAGACCCAGCACTGGGTGAGGTGCCGAGCACTGGGCGAGGTGCCGAGCACTGGGCGAGTGTGG